AATATTAAAGTTTAATCCGGGTGCTGAAGCTCCTCCCTCCCTTTTTTCACTTTAGCAGATTAGGTCGCAGGAGTGGAGGTCGCCTCCTCTCCAGCGATGCAGTCTGCTAAGGTGGGAAGAGGTAGAACTATGGGTGCAAAAAAGAAATATTATTACTGGTGCGCCGAGAGGCCTAGCACGAAATTTTGAATCACGTTAATTTAATAAAGACGTTTCAAGCAACAACAACACCCCTTTTCTAACTCAGGGACGGCCCTAGGGGTGGGCGACCTTGACGGTTGCTCAGGGTGCCATCAAAACCCCTTTTTATTTATTTTTTTTAGCTTTTTCATTTATTTAAATACTGTGCCCAACACGTTATATGCTCGATCGCGGGAGGCGCTCACTTGATCGAATGACATTTTAGCGAGCGCCCACGTTTCACCGAATGACACTTTAGCGAATAGTCGGACGCCGCGAAGCGGCGTTTTCGGGTGGGCCAAATGAGTTCATATTTTTGTAATGAGTTGCCGCAGACTGTCGCCGCGAAGCGGCGTAAAGCGCAGCGCGACGGATGGGTTAACGCGCGCCCCCGTTATTCGCTAAAACGACCATTCGCTCAAATGTCGCCGTTCGCTAAAATGTCATTCGCTCTTGTGATATGGACCCCTCGATCGCCGTTCGTTTTTAGAATGAGGTCCTCGTCTGACAAAACGCTCGTGTTGGACCACTGCTCTAATTTTTACTAACAACGTGATTGTTATGTTTATGCTGGGACGGATTAACAGGATGACATCGGATTACTGGGATTACTGAGAGCACATGTTTAATATGCGGTTGGTTACATGATCGGGCGTAGTCCAACCCTTGACTAGGCTTGGCCCTTGCTTGGGGACACTGTAGCTGGCGCTAAGGGGCGCTAGTGACGTGCTAACTGACAATATACATAACAGTGATGTCCTACTAGGACATAGGGGGCGTGTAGAAAAAAAAAAAAAGGCTGGGTGCACATCCGGAGTTTGCCCAGGGCGCTTGATGGTGCAGGGCCGGCCCTGTTCCAAGTACTGGTTCGCCACGCACGCTAAGCCTATAGGGAGAAGCTGGATTCGACTAACCCTTTCTAGCTTCGTTTCTTTTTCTTACAACAAGAAAAAAAAGGGGGGGGGGGGGGGGGGGGGGAGAGAGAGAGGCTCGCATGCACCGTGAAGATGTATACAGTGTTCCTCATGCTTGGCCCTGCTGTTCGTGCTATTCCTGGGCCCACCGGTTTATCTTCTTTATGGTGTCGTTTTCTCCTCCCAATCACAACTCAGCATGGTGAAGATATTTTAGTGGTTCCACCGACCAATTTAGCTCTGAATAGCCAGCAACAGAACGATATTTGGGTAACCGAGTGGCGACGATGACTTTGAGGATCACTGTACATACAGTTATATAAAATATATAACGCAAGTTCACAAGCACGTTTTTGTCACCACAAAGCGACGTTAAAATGGGTTCAAAGTTCACATTCAGAAACCGTCCTCATTTTGAATTTTCATCCACTGCCCACTGCTGCCCACAGCAGTGGGCAGCAGAACGTTGGGTACGCCACTTATGGACAAAAACTCAAAATAAGGACGGTTCCTCAACGTTAAAACGTTTTTCTAAGCATTTAGAATGAACTTTGAACTCATCGTAACGTCGCTTTGTGGTCGTAATAAACGTTCTTGTGAATGTGCGTTACTAGATATTTTATGTAATTCAATCTATAGTGCTGCTGTACGTATAGAGCGTAGTGGGCAGCAGTGCTGCCCACTGCTGCTTTTCGCAACAGTAAGCAGAACAAAACAAAGCAAAAAAGAAACGTTTTAAAATCTTTGTAATGCGAAATTACAGCGCACTCATGAGGAGGATGGGAGGGTACGGAGGGGAGGCTATACCCCTCTGTATCTTCTCCTCCTCCTCCTTAACCCGCTAAACTTAGCGGGGAAATTTTCTCCGCTAAATATAGCAGGGAAATTTTCCCGCTACATTTAGCGGGTTAAGTTTCCTCGCTAAATTTAGCGGGGAAATTGATGTCACGTGACCGTCACACCAATTCAGTTCCCCCCGCTAAATTTAGCGGGAAAAATGACGTCACATTACTTCGTGCCACGTCACCCATGAACAAATTCAGTTTCTCCACTAGATTTAGTGGAAAATTGACGCCACGTGACCTCAACAACAATGCAATATCCCGCTAAATTTAACGGGGCGGTTACGACGACAGCGACGCCGACATCGGTGCCGACACCGACGTCGACGCCTAGGCTGACGGCGATGCCGCGAACCGTGGAAACAAACACCTAAAAGCTGCGCTGTAAAAAAAAAAAAAGAATTCTCTTTGCAGTTGCGGTTTACACGCAGTGACGTCACTAGTGTGCGTGTGTACAAATACAACCGAATACATTTGGTTGTATTTGTATATTGTACTTATATGCTTTTTTGGAAATGTAATTAGAGTTGTAATTAAATACATTTTGACGAAGTATTTTGTATTTGTATTTCGATACATATTTGCATGTATTTCGCCCATCCCTGATAGATTAGATAGATAGATAGATAGATAGATAGATAGATAGATAGATAGATAGATAGATAGATAGACAGACATAGAACATGCATACATGCATACATACATACATACATACATACATACATACATACATACATACATACATACATACATGCATGCATGCATGCATGCATCCATACATACATATTTGTACGTTTAAAGGGGTACTCCACCGATTTTTTGAGCTACCTCAACTAACTATATTTTCTGACTCCCCGGCCTTTACTCTATCCGGTATGCTATTAAAAATCGCGAAATTCATAATAGTTATTGCGAAATCGGCAAATGAAAATGATGCAAAAACCAACATTCAAATATACGCGCGCTTTTCAGGGCCGTGACGTCAGTGGCAGGCACGCTTGCCAGTCGAGCAAGCAGCCAAAAAATAGAATATGCCAATCATTTGTTCCGTGCTGGAGCGCGGGTACTGCAGCGAGCTTCCCAAACATTCATTTGACACCATGAAACTGCTTCGAATCAGTTTAAAACAAAATCTACAGCCCAAAGAGTGAACCCCTGCCTTCCACTGACGTCACTTTTTCATTGTTGCCAGTAGAGACTTCGAGCTTGAAAAACACGGTGAGGACCAAAACTGTAAATTCAATAACTTCGCGAAAAAACAAGATTTCGACCTAATATTTGGGATACTATTTTCGCGATGTTTGTTGGTTAGTTTAGCGAAATTTCAAGCAAATCGGAGACAATGAAAAAATCGGTGGAGTAGCCCTTTAAGTACTGGCGTCTGATTTATTTGATGTTTTAAACCAGGGCTCGCCAAACTTTTTGGCTCAGAGGCCGGGTTAGGGTTCTGTCGCAGTCTCGAGGGCCGGAAAAGAAAAAGTAATTATAAGGAAAAACTAAATAAAGATTTCTAGATAAACATTTCAACACAAACATCATTGTTAGGGTAAGCATAGGGAGATGAATGCACACACATCAATACTTCAATTTGAAATTAATATTTGGCTAATTATGGCCTTAGAGAAAAATTCTGACGAAGAAAATTCACCAGGCATAAATCAAAACGCATAGGAAAATTCGGACCATTCGCACAGTACAAAAGACAAACGGGAGTGATAAAACGAATGCTGGGGCAGCGTGAAATAGTTGTGACAAAGGATACGAAGCACAATGGACATGAGAACGCAAAGAAATGTTGACACACTTGCATAAACATAAAGCGGAAAACTAAAAATGGGGAGGAAAATGTTCAATTAATATGATGGCGAGAGGACCCCCGTTACGATGCAGTATCTCTAGTTATTTTTTGGTGTCTTGGTTTGCGCGTTTGTAGCGCTTCGCAGCGCCGTTTGTCTAGGCTGGAAGAGGGCATTATTGGAAGGACCACGGTCTGCCGCGAGCGGGATCTGGCACGTGGGACGGGATTTGGAGGCCCCTGTTTTAGACCATATATGGTCTAAAAGCCTAAACGAATATCTACCATTAAACAAGTTTAAATCTTTAGTCACATAAAGTTATCTTAGCGAACGAGGAAATAAAAATATCCTTTTTCAATTTATTAAACGTGAAAAACTTCATCTTGAAATTTGTATTTTTTAGATTTCTTACGTATTCAAAGTCATCTTTCGCTAAGATAATTTTGTGTGACTACAAATTTGAACTTGTTGAATTATAGGTATTCGATTGCTTTAAATTTGTATGTAATTTATGCCACAACATTGAATGTAACAAAATTATTATCATTCAAACAAGGTAAATTATTGTTAAAGAAACGAACAACTGTTTTTTTTTTCTTTTACAAAAAAAAAAACAAAAAAAAACACGCTTTTATTAAGATTCTGTTCTTTTACTGAAACCCTGCCAAAAGTTTCTTAGTTGTTCGATAGTTACATGAGCCTGGCGAGGCTCCCAAATACTCGACCTGTGACAATCGCTATAACGCAAAAAACGCCTTTTTTTTTTTGTTTTTTTTTTTTTTTTTTTGTTTTACACTTTATTTCAGCTTATGAGTACCGCAGGAAAGGCTACAAGCGTGAGCTCCTTGCTTTAGGGCACAGCTCGGCGGCACAAGCTCTCGTGCATTTAGGGTAGCTGCCAACGCCCAACGCTATGATCTCGCTCTTCTAGCTTTCGCTGTTGTACAACAAATAAGGTAAAACGGAGTATAATGAAAAGAACTTGCCCAGCATATATATTTTCTTTCAAAAAAATATTTAGACACGATGTGAAATTACATTATTATTATTATTATTGTTACGCAACCTTTTTTTTTTAAAAGAGTAATGTAATTTTTAGGAGACAATAAAAAATTTCTAAAATATAAAAAGGTATGATTATTTTTGTTTTGATCTTTACCATTAATCTTTCTAAAACTTCCGACAAAAAAAAAAAATTGAAACCGAAACTTGTTAATTTAAAATGAATCTGCGACCTTGCTAAAGTCAGCCATATCCAAATCAACGACCCACAACACTGGGCATCACGCTGGAGGGCGAAAAAGATGGCGTTCGCCGTGCCGCAAGCATGGTGCCGTGTGTCGCGAGTTATACCTTTGAACAGGTGCAATTACAGTGTCTCCACGTCGCAAAAAAGCTACCGGCATATCTGCAACCTCCACCTCCTTCGAAACAACAATGTAAATATGTGTCTGTTTCGCAGCCCGCCGCTGACGCGATGCTACAGCTCGCCGCCTCAGCGCAAGGGCTTTTTCGGCCAGGTCTTCGAGAACATAAAACAAGAAATGGTGCAGAGCAAAGAGATGAAAGAGAGCTTAAAGAAATTTCGCGAAGAAGCGGCAAAGTTGGAGCAGTCGGAAGCGCTCCGCAGTGCTCGGCAGAAGTACGAGAACATCGAGGCGGAGACGGCCAAAGGGTCGCAGCAAATCAAGGAGCAGCTCGAATCTCTCAAAGGAAAGATCCGAGAAGGCATCGAAGAGGCGCAGAAGAGCGAGATCGGAAAGATAAGTCGGGAATTCACCGAGGAGCTGGCCAAATCCGCAAAGACGGCGGCGGAGACCCTCGCCAAGCAGGGCGACCAGCTCGGCAAATCGGGCGCCTTCCAAGCCGTCTCGTCGGGCATCAAAGCGGTCAAGACTGAAATCGACGTCTCGACCATTCCGGGCGCCAGGGTATACCGGGCGCCGGAGAAACTCCGCAAGCGTTCGGAGTCGAGCAGCGCCTCCGCCGCTGAACCGCGGGTGGTGAGCCCGAACGAAGAGGCGACGGGCATCGAGCTGCACAAGGACTCGCGCTGGTACCAGAGCTGGCAGAACTTTCGCGAGAACAACCCGTACGTGCACAAGTTCTTCGACCTCAAAACCCAGTACGACGAGAGCGACAACCCGCTGGTGCGAGCGTCGCGGACGCTCACCGACAAGGTGAGCGACATCTTTGGCGGCCTCTTCCAGAAGACTGAGCTGTCCGAGGTGCTCACCGAGATCTGCAAGATGGACCCGGCCTTCGACAAGAACGAGTTCCTCAGGCAGTGCGAGACGGACATCATCCCCAACGTGCTGGAGGCCATCGTCCGCGGTGACCTGGAGATCCTGCGCGACTGGTGCCACGACGCGCCCTTCAACGTGCTCAGCACTCCCATCAAGCAGGCGGCACAGCTGGGGTACCGCTTCGACTCCAAGGTGCTGGACGTGACCAACGTTGACCTGGCCATGGGCAAGATAATGGAGCAGGGCCCAGTGCTCATCATCACCTTCCAGTCGCAGCAGATCATGGTGGTGCGCAACGCCAAGGGGGACGTCGTAGAGGGGGACCCTGAGAAGATCATGCGGATGCACTATGCCTGGGTCCTATGCAGAGACCAGAACGAGCTGGACCCCAGGGCCGCCTGGAAGCTCATGGACCTTTCGGCCAACTCGGCGGAACAGTGGCTCTAACCCCGGCGCGGTTCTAGACGTGGGCAGCCCTCGGAAGACAGTCCCACCGGCTGTTTCGGGGCACTGACGACATATAGGTGAAATTTAGGAATCAAGATTGAGGTAATGAAGGCTGACCTGCCAAAGTGAGGTGCTCCCTTCCAAAGGGCGGCGGTGTCAACTTGTTGGTCGGTTTTGTTTGCGGCTGTTCCCAAAACCGGCGGGAATCCCCAGACGTAATATGAATGATACGGGATCGAGTAATTGGCTTGAAAGCGATGGGTGGCATTACAAGATTGGTTGCACGAAAACGTTTTCTCTTCATCTTCACACCGAAGCCTATGTCATTTCTGATTTCATAATTCATTTTTTTGTTTTGTAGGTTTGTGAGTTATAGATAATAGGTAGTACTTACCATAAGTAGGGTGTTGAACCCATACTGAAATAAAACGGTACAATCCGTTATTTTAAAATTGCCAATGCTCTCCAGTGTTTATTGCCAATCCGAGCATAATCAGATACACCTGCACCTTATATTTTGCTTGAGAATGGTAAAAATATTTATTCTATAATTTTTTTATGTATTGACCCACAAACACTACCAAGAAAACATATCTAGACATAACAAACCAGTTTGACACGCTCCAGGACAATAGGGACCGCACACACAAGTTTAACACACATTTGCGCAGGTTATGTGAGAGAGTTTCAGAATAGTGTCCCTCCCCTGCAACCCAAGCACCTTTGCTTTTATTTGTCATATGATATGCCGTAACTTGGGAAAAGTGAGTTATTTTTCCTAACCTTTTAGATTTGCCTAAATATAAAAATAATTGCAACCAGTAAGCCGGCAGTGATCGTTTTTGTCGCCTTGGCAAAAGCGGTCGCATACTGATCTTTGCCGAAACGTGTTTGCCCATTGCAAGCAGCAAGTTGCCGGCGATATTGGCTTGTCTTACCGGGTCTTGAAAACTGTAGTCGCAGGGACGCCGCTGCCTTCGAAGCCATGGAGGCGCGATCCTGGGTGCCACCCTTCAACGCTTGGCCTGTCTAGGTTTTAGCCTTCTCACAAACTTTTGCACCTTGCACAAGCAGTGCAAAGGCTTTGGGTACCTGCGCTGTTCAAAAAAATAGCGTCCGCAGCCAAAACGTGGTTTGGGCTCAGTGTGCACAGTTGCGACGACGCTATCTGTTGGGGTATGCTTCACAAACGCTCCCTGTAGAGCTTTCCAGCGGCAGTCTCGAACGAAGTGATTTAAAGCGCGCGTCCCTGGTTTGGGTGTGGGTTTAGATAGATGGCTTTGTATCGGGGGATCCCAGCGTACTGGATCTAGCCAAAATTATCTGTTATTTTCTTCTTGGTTTTTCTTCCACCAGTGGTTCAGTCTTTTTGTCCATTCCACCACCGGTATAGGCCACGGTCCCCTGCCCACGGTGCTGTCGGCGCCGTCGTTGCCTCTGTCGTTGCCCTGCTCGTCGATTTGCTGGAAGCCCAACGCCACTACCATGACTCCGCCGCACGGCACCTCCGGTTGCAGGCCCGTGCTCTCCAGAATGACGTGGTGCCGCATTTTTTTCGGCCCCCTGTGTGCACAGGGTGCATCGCACGTCGGTGTCTGTGTACTTTGCCCGAAGCACACTTTCTCAGCATGCCTCCTTGGGCGTCAAACAGAAGTCCACTGCCCCTGCCGTTGTCTATGAATTCTATCTTCCTCACTTCCTGTTTTTTCCTGGTGTAGAGGGCAACTGCCGGCTTCTGTTCAGCCTTTTCCGTCCACCGTTGAGTCTCGGTTTCAGCGACTCTTGTGCGGATGTTTTCCAGTTGTTGTTCTGGAGTCGGGTAGAGGAAATGGTTGTTTATGCGATACCGGACGGCCAGCTGGCGTGTCCGTCGCACCCACCTAGTCGAGAGGCTCTTGGGGTGGATATATTTGAAAGCCTGTCTTGCCCACCGCTCTTCCTGCATTTGGCAGAGGAGTCGTTCGAAGTCCAGCTTGGACCGGGCCTCTCTTGCATCGAAGATAGACCACCCCATGTCCCCCTGCACTGCCTCGTGAGGCGTTCCTCGGCTGGCTCCCAGTGCCGCCCATCCCACTCCTCTCTCGCGCACCTCTAGGCACTCACGCGTGCGGGACCAACAGGCACAGAACTCCATTTCCAAAAGTGAGACCTGGCACTGCCACCATCTTTCACACCGCCCTGGAGACCTTGAAACGGTTGTAACCCCAGAGGGCTCTGGCAGTCGATATCCCCTTGGACCTCCTGCTCTTAGCCTGGCCTCATGGTCTTCGAGGTAGTTTTGGCCCTCCTGGATGTGGATCCCCAGGTACTTGTACCCCCTGGATTTTTAGGTTATCTGCCTCTGTGTCTCCTCTGTCCCCGAAGCCCATCAATGCCAACTTCTTAGCACTGAAACTCAACCCCAGTGGCGCCCCCATTGTGTTGCACTCGTTCATTAGGGCTGCAGGCCCTCCAGGGAGTCTGCCATCAGGACAGTATCGTCGGCATAGATTAGCCCAGGGATTTTTCCTTTTGGGAGGGTGTGTCAGTGTTGCCCGGCTGCGCTGGGCTATGGGTTTTCTAGTCTGTGGGCTGTGGCCGCCTGCGTCGGCCTACTTTCGGACACTGGTGGAGGCTAAATTGCTGCGTTCTATTTTTTATTTTGTGTTCTGTGGCGAATAGAATTTCTCAAGGTTTTTAAGAATGCATTATACTATTTTTGGGGACAAACAAAGAAATGAAAGCTGTTTTGGTGAGTCCATGTGCAACAAAACATATGCAACTGGAATGTTTGTTTCATATTATGTAGATCTTTTTATGGCACCATACAGTCAGCCGTGTCAATCTACAAAGGTCTTAACCGTCGAAAACATTCGACCGCACAGGATATTCAAATTGCATGAATATTCCACGCCCACAAGATGAAATTCAACGAGTCTCATCAATCGAACAACATATATTGTATGTACCCCACGGTGCCGCGTTATCCAAACAAGATTTGAGAAAGGTCTCAAATAACACAGTATATTCAATGTACAGTGCCAATGATGGTCACTTCATGACGATCAAATGGAATCCGGCGTTTTTTGGGGCACATGTAGACGAGAGCTGCTTTTTTGCACAGCTTCAAAGCAAATGGACGAACGCGTCTATTCCCTCCCCACACCTCGGACCTGACCCTATCAGCTATTTTTTTGCAAAGACCCGGAGCATAGCCGGAAAGGCTTTTTCGAGATTATCTCAGCGGAAATAATCCTCCAAGGTTAAACTCCTTGCGTCACGGGCTGCTTGACGTTTGCTTTCTTCGTTCATTTCCTGCGAAGGCTGAGCAGGCTACGAGCCCTGGTATTCCCTGGTTCTCACAGTGGAAGATAACATACAAAGGATAAGCATCCTAAACATGCAAATAAAGTAAAAACTTCCAAGAAAAGCCGGCGAACTCTGAATGCACAATGCAGGTGGGGAGTCGCGCTGACCGGGTTTCCACAGCTCGGGCAGGTGGCAGAAATTTCTGGCTGATAGGGGTCGTTCGATTCGCAAAATGGCAGAGGCCAGAGAGCTCTTTTTCCAAAGGTGTGTACCGAGCAGCACTAGGGGTGTTGTTAACCTACTGAGATTTGATTTCACCCAGATTTGAATTGATTTTGTTTAGCATAAAGTTTGACAAAAGTTATTCTATATTTTATACTCTAACTTATATTTTTGGTGGCCGCACACTCTTGCTAAGAATGAAGCACCCTGCCAGTTTTGAATCAAGAATTGCTGGCCTTGGAGGACAGTAGCATGAGATTTAGGTGAGTTAGTGGGTCACCATGGGTTGTCACTGTGTCTTCTGTTCTATTCAGGTCAGAATTGGACGACAGCGCTTAAAATTACACTAGCAGTCATAATTGGCTGAATTGCGTGAAAGAAGCAAAAGCAACTTTCCTTCCTCATGGCAGAAAGATTTTGCATGAGAACATTTAAATTTTTGTCATCGTACAATGCAGAAAGGCAGGTACAAAGAAAACGAAAAGCTCCGGACGACTGCATTATCCGTGTTTTGACTTGTCGTTCATTGTTTGCAAGTGCTGTTGCATTGTGATAAGTGTGACGCATTATCAGGGCATATACAAATCGTAAAGCAAACCTTAACTCTTAGTTTTTATGAGCTTTTTTTCACCAATTATCACCATTTTTGACACCCCAACAAAACATGCATATTTTTATATACAAATAAACACCGAAAAACTTCCTCAGATTTTCGTTATAAGCAAACACGGGAAAATCTATAACTCGCATGTGGGACATTTAGCCCGCACCTTGCTGCAGCTCGTACAAGCAGGCATATGCTACTGCAAGCTTTGCCCCTCACGCATGTGAGGGGCACCAGGTGACATGCAATGCTTGCAATTGTGTATGCTCAGGGACAGCGTTGTGAGGTTATACAGACAAAGCTGAGGGCACATACTTAGCTTGAGTGACAATTAAAGCTTTGTGCTGCTATGCTAAGCTGTGCAAAAAAAGTGCCTAGAACCACAGTGTTGCCGCTGGACGGCTTCGTTGGAACAGAAGAAACTGAAAATGTGATTATGAAGAGTTGTTGATGCAGCAAAAGAGGTCCAACACTGAGTTTCGTGAGAGCAGCACTGATCGGGTATTGTCTTTAACACGTTAAACAGCGAATTGAAGTGTTCATACTTTATATGTTTTGTGTTACGGTGCAATCATAGATACTAATTATTTTTTTAAAGTTGAAATTGACTCTTGCTTGAATATGTTTCCAAGCTGGATACTTTGGATAAAAATGTGGCAACACTATTCAGGTCGAATATTATTGAATGTAGCCAAAATACTGAAGGTCAAACCGCAAGTTTAAGGGGATGGTGCAAGAAGTTTTGAGTTTTCAGTAAATGCTGCTTACAACTAATCCCTAATGTTCCTAATGTATGAAAAAAGTGTTAGTTTTTCTCCACACAGTGGTAAACTCGGACAAAGATTTAGAGAAAAACAAGGTGTGTTCACCCCTTCATTTTGCACTACCATAACAAGCGGCCAAGTGGTCCGGTTTCATCAGTTTGCAACCAGTGTTCATTGTAGCCAAGAGTGAGGTTGGCAAAGCACAGGGCATGCACTGACTTCCACACATTGTTAGGGTTTGCTCCTCTTGTCATTGCAGCTATTGGACACGAGCCACTTCCCGAATGCTCGTCGAGGCATCATCTGTTGCAGGCCCAAATCAAGCGCCCACATACTATTTGCGTCTAATTTAAGAGCCCCATTTCACCATCAACACCATTTGGTAATTCCTGCAAATGTCGCAGAACAGAACCCCCCTGATTATCACTAAAGTTTGCCAAGAAACTAAAAGAAAAATTTAGCTTTTATTCTTCAAGTTACACTGCAGCAAAGATGCTTCTTAGTGGTGTTGTGTGTGAGCATACTTGGATCCCATCTGTTCCAGTATGGTTGTGTAATTTAAGCGTTCCAACCGATTAACATTGCACAGCCCCTTCAACAAAATATCTCTGACATCCCGACTGATAATGAATCTTGGGTCTTCGCATTCACTGGAGCTTCAAGCAGCATGAATGAATTTGAAGTTGCAAACTAACATATAGACCATTTCGGTACCCTTACTATGCACAATTGCACTTTGTTGTAGTGGCCAGTGCCGCTTTTTTGCAAGCATGAGCATCCTGCATCTTAAGACTAACTTGCAGCTGCACATGGTCACACGAGCAGATATATGGCAGTGGCCAGAACACCTTGCTTGCGATTCTGTATGTGCTGGGCTGTGCTTCGGTCCTCTGTCTGTTTTCCATCTGGTGTTTTTGCAGAGTTATGCCATTCCCCCTCCAACCGACTTCTTCAGATAAGTTGCTGCTTCTAAATGTTTCTCTATTTTCCCACATGTGTCTGTCTAGAAAAGGCAAAATAGCTGCAGAAATTGACATTATGCTCTTTAGTTTCTTTGAGGGAGAGGGAGGAAGGTTACTGAAATTGACTTTTTGTCTGTTGAGCTGTGAGTGATGAAATGCATTTGAGTGTGATTGACCATGTTACACCAACACAAATGTCCGAACCAGCTTTTAGGATTGCTTTCAGTATATTTTCAGAGATTCTTAATCTAATTAGAGCCATGTTTGTGAGCATATAAAATGCATGAAATCTTTACTGGGCAAAACTAAAGTCCAATACACTTTTGCCCATTTTTTTCCCCTCTTAAGGTTTGATTCTTGCGATCATGAAATTTGTTTTTGAGAATGTGTAGTATGACCACTCTAATCAGTCAGGATTTCGGGGATTTTTTCTTCTATACTCATTTTCACCTTGAAAACCATAGTAGAAAATAGGCTCCTCGTGAAGCGTTACCAATTTTCTCCCGTATCTGGCAATTAAGAGAGTTCACAACCTGGAAGAGTCAACTTTTGAAGCTTTGGCTTTATATGAATGAAACTTAAAGTATATACTGGCAATTGCAAGGCAGAATGCAGTGCAAAGTTTTATCTCTGCAAGTGAATTGTGAAATAAATTATAGCCTATTTTATCAGAAACACAGTGACATTCTTTAGGAAAAATATCGTTAGAAAACTAATGTAATACCCAACATTTTTCTTCACTAGATACGCAGCAGAATGCCTAGAGAGTGCAACCGTGAAAACAAAATTACCAAAAAGTAATTTATTTTATGCTGACATTGGGGGTGCTGAAAAATCAAATAAATGTTTTGCCTTTTGTGTTGTCGCCAAAATCAACATATTTTATAAAAGACATCCTAAAATTAAAAAAACACAATGCCACAGTTGCATTGCCTATTCAATTCCAGTTAGGAAAAAGAATGAGTAAGCCTTTCCTTTTGTCCTGTTACCAAACAATAGTTTTCCTAAGGTGAAATTGATGTCGAAAAGTGGAATGGAGAAAAACGCGTCCAAAGAGCTCAAACCTAAACCTCTTCTTTAGCATCGGTGGACCGAAAATAATTTATAAAAACATAACTATGCAGAGTAAACAAATGAAACTTTGGCAATACCTTTTAAATACTGGTGGATGTAAATATTAATTTTTTTTTAAATCAACTTTATTTTTGTAGAAGTTATTTTTGGGTAGTGTTCTCCTTTTTAAGGCACTTGTATGTGCATTTAAGATCGGTTGTTTCTTATCTTATTAAAAAAGATGTTTCAAAATAAAAAAAAAAGCTTTTTTTTTCTGATTACCGGGTTTTGTAAGAATATTTGTGTGCGACTTATGAACTACGCGCAGTGACGTGATAGCCACGCCTTTTGCGCCAAAGTGTTTACCCTGCTAGATCCTGCAACGTATGAGGGCAACGCCAAAATATGAGGAATATGCGCCAACATCGCGCCAGGACTAAATTGCACTTCATTAGTAGTGAAACTATAATAGCTGAGGTCGCGCTACATGGCCGGATTGTAACGCTAGGTTTGGGCAGATTTTCACAACTTTCGATTATCACTTCGAATAACGTACTGTTCGCTTTGATCTATGTATCCAAGACTGGCAGTTCTCGGGTTCGCGGAGTGCTGTCGGCTTAGTTAGCTCCGTTGAGTGCGCTTCTCCGCGCGAACTGCCATACTGCAGTGAAGCGACAACCGCGGAGTTGGCATCGAGATTGCGATTTTGCGTCCCTTACTCCGCCGCAGACGTCATAGTGTCGCGTGACGTGCCCTGAGAGAGGTACGCCCCGAGCGCCACTCAAAACACCTCGCACGACTGATGCCTCGTTCACACGGTATCCATAAGTGTACCTTTAACCTTTGAGCTCCATCGGGTCGCGAGCACTTGTCCCGCGCGGAGGATCGGTAACTGCCTCGCCGCTGCAGCCATAAAGGTCCCTTAAGGTGTATTCGCACGGCGGACAAATTTCGGGAACGGTGTCCGCGGACCTGTTAAATATGCGTATCACGTGGCTTCGACGTCACAACGGACAAGTCCGCGGACTTGGGCAAGTCCGAGGACATACGAATTAATACTGCATGGTTGGCGTGAACCAAGGCGAGAACTGCGAGTCTGAGCTCGTACCTTTCTCGCTGCCTTCGCTGCACGAGATATCTGTTCAGGATTGGTATTTCCCAACGCTCTCACCTCGCGCAGAGAGCCTTGGTGGTGCTTCGCTGCGGTCCAAGCAACAAGAAAACGGCCACGCAACGCACCTGACGGTCGATTCCAATCCCGCCAGCGTCTGATGAACCTGGCATTGAAGACGACAACGATGAAGGATCTCAGCGATGAAGCGACGCTGTGTTTAGTCGCACTCGTAGAAGAGTTTCCACAGCTTTGGTGCCTTTAAAACGACCAGTACCGCTACAACGGCATAAAATCAGAGCTCTGGAAACAAATTGCCAATGAAATGGAACGGTGCTACTCCCAGTATGGGCCTTACAAGGAAGGTGGGTTCATTGAAGGCGGACTAATTAGTGTCGATTCCGTGTTGTATTTGACCGCTTATTGTTGTCTAATACTTTAGAGGGAATGAGGGGCTTTTTTAAAAATAAGCGACGCATCTTCAGACGGGAGAAGGAAAAGATCACGAAGACGAAGAGCAGCCAAGCTGCGGAGTACACGTACAACGGTAGATGGAGGTTCTACCGCAGTCTCCTGTTCTTGGATAGGAGCAAACCTGTCCTTTCCCGGGAGAGCAACGAATGTTACCAACACAAGGATCCCAGTGGAGTGAGTAACGTTTGGCGGGTTGACCCATTCGTTTAACTTGATTTTTTAGACCTATCGAACGAAACGTTGGCGAGCGTTCGTTGATGGAGGTCACTGAGTCCTATTAGCTTGGCTGACGTTCGAGTTCTGGCTTTGCTCTACACGCTTCAGCAATTTGTTTTGTTCGGGCTTCGGCATTTTGTTTCGTTCACTCGTGTTAATCACGGTTTCTTGAAGTGCTGGTAGTCTCTGGAAGAAGCTGCGAGACACTATCCTAGGATTTGACAACCGGCGGCCTGCGGGCCGGGTCCTGGCAGCAATGCAGTTTCATTCAAATTTATATAGTAAACTTTTTTATCAAATTTTTTCAAGTGAAATTGCCAACCACCGGTGAGCCTTCGATGGGTCCGACCTGCTGCGTCTTTATAAAAAGCACTCTCATTTCTTCCACAATACTACGGTTGTGACATCGACTCTTGGTCACGTAACCCATCGCCGTCCTCCCTTCACTACTAAAACTATCTCTCTTTCTCTCTCTCTCTATCCCTCTCTCTATCTCTCCCTCATTGCTCTGAACAGTAAATGGCCGACACTTGCGATATTCTGCTGTGCAAGCGGGGGCTTTACATATAGTTCTTCTACAGTAACGCATTCGTATTTCTTTTACCTTTCCAGATGGACAGTGAGACAGAATTGGCGTCTGTTATGACCGAGATGAAGGAACCTGTCCTTGGCACGCCTTCCACACACACACACCGCGCGGAACAACGAGTCCCAGTGTGGAAGCGTCTGGCACTCCTGTGAAACGCTCAAAGTGCGATGACGGAAAAAAAAAAAAAAAAAAAAACAGATGACTGCTTCAGCTCTGGGTGGAAAGAGCGCACGGTTGCTTTCACTAAAATTGCGGAAAGTTTTGCAACTGAAAAAAGTGGCGACGACGCTGATAATTTCGGAAGAGTAGTGGCGGGGCCACATGAGAAACCTAAACGGAACCAATTTTATTGGGTGTCAGATAGAGGTATTGGAACTAGTCAAGCGTTACCTAGACCGACAGCAAGAATAAATGTAATTCAACGAACCCAATTAAAACTAAAAAGTGTTAATTCAAAATTAACATTTCGCACTCATAAGTAAAGGAAATACTTGAAAACAAACAAATGCTTGTATCCTTTGCCTTTTGTACTTATTCCATTCGGACCTGATGGCTGTTTTTGTTGGACTGGGCGGGTGTGTTAGATTGCGAACCGATATTATAGCATGACAAAATCAAAAATAAGAAAACATTGAAGATTCTTTCAAGTTTATTTACATAAAATTGAACAATTAGAGCATAACACCAAAAGTTTTTGGTGGTCAAAGTACCAGCACATGCATGAACGGTCATTAAGTGAAGGAAGTAGCAATATACAGCTCATGAAATGGTATCTTTGCTTCTGCACTTGTCTGAACATGCAGATAAGGTTACATTTTGTTATTTATCCGCATATTAAAACGCGCCTGTTCCCTCTGCCACGCGACGGCGCCTTCGTCATTAAAGTATCTCCGTAGACGCTCATGCACATCTAGAGCTCTTGCCCCGGAGCGCCCTTTGCAACATTGTAGCCCGAAGTAGATTGCCCTTTTTCGCGGGTGGTCCTCCCTCGACGCTTTAAAAAGCACAGGTGCAGCTCGCAAATAGTTGTGCAGCACACACGCCGCCTTGATGAATGAGGTGACCCTTCCTGGTTCGGCATCGATAGTCGTGTGCAAAAGCCTAAAACGGTTTGCCAGAATGCCAAACGCATTTTCTGCTACCCGTCTGGCTCGGCTTAATCTGAAATGAAAAAATAAGTTAAAACGATAAGGAACACGGTGTTTAGAAATGACATGATGTAGGCAACACAACTGTAGTTAAATATAACCTTTTCTTCATCCAAATTTGTACCAGTGTACGGCTTCATTAAGTTTATAGACAAGGGAAAGGCGTCGTCTCCCACGATGACGGGTGGGACGCCGACCGGTCCAGGTCCTGAGATCGGCAGCCCGGCTGTTCCGTTCTCGATGGCATTCCGCAGTGGTGTCGTCGTCCAAATGCCTCCATCTCCATCGGACCCAGGTGCGCCGACATCAATGTACAAAAACCTGCTGTCTGCATCCACAAGAGCAAAAAGCACGATACTGAAGGTCTTCTTGTAATTAAAATAAACAGATCCAGAGATTGTGACATGTTTTCCGTCCAGCGCTCCAATACATTGCGGAAACTGCCATCTTTCGTAAAAGTTCTTCATTACTGCAAGCCACACATCTTTCGTCCGCGGGGACACCAGATATTTTGGTCCGAGCATTTTGTAAATGGCGTCACAAGTTTCAACGAGGAACCCGTTGACGGCGCTGTGGCTAATGCGGTACTGCCTGCTTAAGGAATGTTGACTTTCGCCTGAAAATTCGCAAGAAAACTAGAAACACGGCTAAGTCGAGCGTAGCTCTCAAATATGCTGAAACAGGGACAAAAGTAAGAAGAATAACCACACACCTGATGCAAGAAACCGCAACGTCAGTTGAAGTTTGTCTTTGGCTGGGATGGCTGGACGCATTTCAGTATCGAGTTTTGGATGCACGATGCAATTGACGAGAGAATGTCAGCAAACTGGTTGGAGTCAACGCGCAGCAATCGGCGGTACTCCGCGGAATCGCTCTCCAGAAGTTCTTGATAGAGTAGATTCTGTATACCGAGTTCCTTCTTGGACATCCATGTTTTAATCCATGGTTTTTTTGTGTCGGTATTAGGTGCTTCCGCGACTTCCTCATCCGCCATCATGAGGGCACAAGCCACAACAACTCGTGAAGCCTTGTTGGCCTCCATGTTCGACCTTTTCCACATACCGACGGCACCAGGCGGTGGCTGCACGAACTATAAATCGAGGAAGTGACCTACCTGCGCTACCAATTGATAATGGAGCTACGCAACCAGTTTCTTCGCTCTCTGAGCAGCGGCGCCTGTCCAACGCGACTTTAAAGAGGGGCATCCGTGGCGTCCGCCCAATCGTTGTGTTTTTCCTTCCGTCCACTTTCTTTTTTTGTGTAACCCAATTATATATATGCTGCAATTACCTGTTCTAATCGCTTATCCACAGGCTCATTCCGAATTTCCTCGATTTTTCGTTCCGACTTCCGCCGCTTGGCATCGGGCGCTCGCGCGTGCGCAGAACGCTTCTCGGAAAAGGTCCATTTCCCGTCGTTTTCTTTCTTTTTCTTTTCGGCTCCTCTTTTTACTAAGCGCAGGAATCCACGAGCATCTTCCACAGCTGTAGCTCGTGCGTACTAATCGTACTGGAAAATGAGCAAAGGCCTATCCGTGCACGAGAACCGTGAGAGATATATAAAAAAGAAAAAGAAAACCGCTCGTGCAACGAAGTGTACCACGAGCACTTCCACGCAGTCGGTTCCCGGGCTTGTCCGAGGACCACGGCGGACTCGAAAAAAGGCAGAATTGGATCGCTTTCAATACTCCTATAATCATGATCCGGCAGGTCCGCGGACATATTCTGTGACGTTCGCCCACGTGATACGCAAGATATATCAGGTCCGAGGACACGTTTTTCAGGTCCGTGGACATGTCCCTTATTTTTGCCTGCTGTTTTCGCAAGAAGAATGGCCGCTTTTATACCCCGGAAAAGGTGACGTCACGCCTTTCGTAGGAACTTGTCCGCGGACGAAGTCCTTCGTGTGAATACACCATTAGCTAGAGGTACATTTACGACCGTGCGAATGGTGTATTGCTTTTTCGCCACAAATCTGAAGATTCATTTCTCAAGGTCTATGTTCTAGATTTGCCGAGTTTGACGCAGAACTGATGTTTGCTCTTCTTCGTTCTGGCTGCAGTTCACTGCGATATTGCCGATGTGCTCGCACATGTGGTCACAAAAACTCGTGTAGCGACTTCCGGAGCTTCAGATTCGTAGTCGGGAGGCTCGTGGGCAATATTGTTTCGCTTTCTCGCGAACTGAGTAACATTTTTCGAGGATGGAAAAGCGTTTCGCGCGATTTCAAGTGAGGCAACGATGCTTTGAAGCACTAATTAAGGTGGCTAAAGTGCCCCGAAGCATAGCTTATTATGTCACTCTAGCATGAAGGGGATTAAGGTGTATGCTTATGTTCCAAAAGTTTTTTTTTCTTTGCTGCTCTAAAATGTTATAGCTCCATATGGTGCATCAAAATGACTTGAATCAATCATCACAAAAAGTATGCGCAAAACTGCCTTTCCTCGAGGTTAGTACGAGTATAGAAGCACTCGCCGTGAACTTTTTCCCCGAAATTGTGGGTCAGCAGACGAGAAGTTTGTGGATGTGTGCTCCCCAAAAGCTGGCTTTTGAGTGGTTCGTGGTACAAATGTGTGCCCGGTTGCGCGCTTCTGCTTCCTGTGGGAAATAGGGCGCTTCTCGTGCTCCCAGTGGCGGACTGAGAGGAAGAGTCTAGATGTCCGAACTTCCCCCCACCCCCCTTGTCTTTGAATTCCGCATGCGTAAAAATTTAGGGCGGGAAAAAGCTTCTGTTTGCTCTATGGTAAAGATGGAAAAAGTTCTTCACCTTACAGCAACGCGCGCGATTGTCGAATGAATACTTCGTCTCATTAGCTGTGTGCAGTGCAGGCGAAGTCAACGCCAGGCGAAGAGAGAGGGTGAGCACTAGGAAGGTTTGGGAAGAATGGGAGAACACTTGGAACGTTAGAGAGGAAATAAGGTTTCTCTCCTCCTCCCCAGCCTTCCTAGCGCTTGACCTTTCTCCCCTCGCCTTGCGTTGCCTTCGCCTGTACTGCACGCAAATAGTGACACGGAGTATAGTAGCTAGTTTGCCTAGAGTTCAGGGTGTTGCCAACTACTCTATCGGGGGCACGTGGTTTGTGGGTGGCATATGCAATACGAGGTGCTAGGAGGAAGTGTTGATCGTCTGCAAGTGTCCCCGACTCTTTTCCCCGCCTTCCTCCTCGCCACGCGAAAACGCACTGTGTGCGCACTTCATTTATTTCGTTTATTATATCTTAAGGGCCTCAGTGTGGCATTACATAGCCGGGGGGGGGGGGGGGGGGGGGGATAATAGAAACACTATTGGAACATATGGTTAATGCAAAGATAGAAAACAATTTCTCAAACGCTGTTCCCCTTCGGTGAATATTTGCAACATTCTAGTGAGAAAACCTATGTCGAGTGAGCTCTGTTAAAAATAAGGGCTGATCAATTATTGTTACAAATGATTCCGGTAATACATTCCAATCACTTACACACAAATTGAGGGGTGATTTTTAAATGTATTTTGGCAAAAAGCAATTCGAGCTTATGGCAATGGTCACGACGATATCATTAGCTGGTGAGAAGAATTCGCGGTCAATCCAATAATTTGTAAAACATGTTATAAAAAACAAATATTGTCTACAGCGCGTCTGTCCTTAGGAGGGGGGTAATAAGATTGAGTTTTTTTAGTATTGAAATGCTTGAGGTTGAATAGTCGTGAAAAAATGAAGCGAGTCACGCGGTTTTGAATTGGTTCTAACACGTCGTCTGAGTCTGATGAGGGTTCCGGATGGTAGAGGGACATTCCAGTTTGGATCTAACGATATAGCGGTATGACAGCTGTTTGACTTTTGGTGAAGTTTGATAAAGATGGCGTCCTAAGAATCCTAAGGATTTATTTGCGCTTGAAGCATATATGTTCACAATTTTCTAGTGGATAGAGAGCAAGCTGATAGGAATAAGTGATTGCATTACGGGATTTAGAAAACAAGGCAGATTTCAATTAAAGATGATTAATGCATATTAGCAACTCAGCACACCACTTCTCAATGAAACATAGGTCGTGTTGCCATACTTTGTAATCGGCTTCACTGGTAATAGCGCAATAAATAAGAACATCGCCGGCAAACAAGCGAACACTACCTCTAAATTGGCAACCAATAATATTAAACAGGGAAAAGGAATGGGCCCAGTACGGTTCCCTAGGGTACTTCCGAAATAACTTGTAAAGAATAAGAAGTTGCCTCACCAAGTTTGACATACTAAGTTGTTGTGCTAAGAGACTTGTTTATCCAATTAATGAGTACTCAATTAATTTTTAAGTGATTTAGTTTTGCGATAAGTCTGCAGTGGAGTACCCGATGAAAAGCTTTTGAAGAACCAATAAAGACTGTCTGTTTGTGTAAGTGTATTAAGGTTATTATGAATATCAGTAACGAACTCGTTGTACAAGACCGTTTTTTACGAAATTTATGCTGATTACAAAACAAAACATTGTTGGAATCTAAAAATTGCACACATTTGTTAAACTTATATGCTCCAGTAGTTTGCAGCACACACTTGCTAAAGAAATATGCTTATCGTTGCTAAGTTTGTCAGAAGATCCGAACTTAAGAATAGGAATTACGTCAGCATGCCTCCAGTCAGTGAGGAGGCTAGCCGTGGTGAGGAATTCATTAAAATGTTTACCCAAGTGCAGAGGTGAGGTGTGCCTGCAAAAGCAGGTACAAAGATCAGGTGTGCTTTGGCTCGACAAAATGCGACCATTCTGGCCAGGAGTCGTCCGCCATTCAATTGCAAACGCTCTCCGTGCTTCGAGTTGCTGCCTCTCTTAGTTCTAGGCTAAAATCGCGGCAAATTCAAATTTTACGCTTCGTAATATCTGAATTAGTGATCGAATAAGCACGTTATTTTTTATTGATTAAGATTTCTGGGATTAAAAAGTATAACTGCTCATTTGTTTTTGTTTTAATTCCTCGCTCCTGCGAACAAAGGAGGGCTGGGGAGCAGCGGCCGATCTCACCTGTTTCGCTGCCGCCACGTCGCCCCGGCAACCAGCGGCAGCCACAACATGGCTTTGCCAAAATTGACTCGTTCGGCCGGAGCAGCCGCTGAAACTCGCTCGATCTTAGGGCTGGCGTCTTTCGATCGGCGACGACATGTGCGCAGATCAAGTGAGTGTCCTTCAGTCGCCGTTTTTTCACCGTTTCTATTCACAATCGAGTTCTGCGTGGTTCACAATCGCGCGTCCTGCGACCAATGTCACTTGCCCTCTCCGGCACTCCTCCAGCTGAGCTCGAGTAATCGAGTGTGCTGAAACCCACCCGGGCGTTACACATTTCTTCGAGTTTCTTGCCATCCAGTTTTCTGTCGATTGAGCTGGCAGTCCTTACTAATTTAGCTTGGGTTCTCGCTTCAAATGTGCTATGATCTCCCCAACCTCGAACCACCGCGCCATGAACCACTTTACCCTGCATTCGCAATTACACTGTCGTTTCAAAAATAAGCTCTTTCCTTCTTACGGGCGCCCTTATGTGCGTAATGATGCGTTTTAAATTTGCTGGCCAAACGTAGCTTGCTACCGAGGGCTTTACACGAATTTATAACTAACAGAATAGCACGCACCTCCACGGTGCACGCAGAAACGCCTTTTTATTTATGTATTTATTTTTGTGCGCCCCACCGAGGTTCGAAATACACCGATCTCACCTGGTTGTTGCATTTCGCGCGAGTCTTGCCTGATGACTCAGGACGTGGCAACCGTCCAGAGCATCTTGTTATATAACCGCAGCCAATTAGACTGCCGCATTCGCCGGTAAAAACGTCAAAGAGCATATCACAAATCCAAGAACGTGAATACGTTGAGCCGCACCCTCAACATCTTAAAAGTGACTGTATAGCCACCTCCGACTTCGCAAAAACGACACACAAACATGTGCGGCCATTATCTGGCAAACTATAAGGCCCTGCTTCCTTGAGCGTCATTGCTGGGAACAACCGAACCACTGTCTAAAATGATAGATTGGCATTAATGAACTATCACACAGTTCCATAAAACACCACAGACGGAGGGCTGCGTCGAGCTAAGATGAAATCATTTAGGCTAGGTGGCGCAAGCTACCGCTCGTTATAAAGGTTGCAGCCATTAGCATCCGTTCATTCATCTATCCAATGGCTGGAATGGCTGCTTACACGTGTCTATTAGGATCCCAAGACATTGATTCGCCGTCACTTCTCTGTTCTTGTTTTTTCTTCTCAAAAACCAACGTTACTCAAAAACGTAGGGTTTTACAATAGATTGTGTGAAATCGAGAAAACAACAAGAAACAAAAACATCAACAGGTAAATACTAAACTTTAAACATTCAAACTCCTATACAAAAACCAAAAAGTAATTGTAATGATTGACAAAATTAGACAAACTTCCGGCTGCATAAAGTTATTAATTATTTTGTCAATGAGGCTAGGTCAGCAATGACACGTTGCTTATAGATCCTGGAAGCCTGTGGCGAATGTTTTAGAGCCCATAAATAAAGATCCCTACGCCTGCTGCCCTGGCTAGAGTGGTGATATAAGGTTTCTAGCTTTCTGGCCTCCAGATATTTAGGTCACTAGCTTGAAGTTATGCTGATCAGTCTTTTTTATCACATTCAGCGTCATGTACCTAATTAATATATCTATAATTAGCGTGTCAAAATATGCAGATTAAGATTATTTGAAAGTTAATGTCGACAACACGTTCTAATTTGTAACGGTACACTTTCGTATAGTCCATAAGTTTAGTAAAAACTTTCGTATTAAATAATTTAATATTAATTTGTTGAATGAGTGACACCGATGAAGCAGCTGTTAATTAAATCAAATCAAAGTTGTTATTTAGACAACCGACGTGTACTACAGTTGTCTGGGAGCCGTCACAAATGGCATAGGCATGCCTGACGAGGCGGCAGTCCACCTCCCAGTTATCACCATTCAACAAGCTAGACAAACAAAAAAAATCAACAGAGAAACGAAACTTACGCGACTGGCACAAACCAAACATAAAAATTTCACATCAACAATAAAATAAACGCTGCATAAAAAGGGCGAAATCAAGGAGATGAAACCCAGACGGTCCTCCAAGAAGCTACAGAACAATATTCATCTACCTCTTTAAACCTGCATAAACACGGCACAGAAAGTAACGCCAAACAACAAATTCGCAAAAAAAAGAAAGAAAAGAAAAAAAATGGCACTATCACCTTGCAGGTTAGCCATTGACACATGCAGCAAATAGGAAAAAAATTGAACTCGAAGAAGACATTTAAGACTGCTTACGTGTAGGAATGCCAAAGCATTCGTACACGCACCGCATTCTTACAAGCAGCGCGCCACGTCTTTTTTTCTTTTTCACACGGCGCTACCGCGGTGACATCACGCTCCCTCACTGCGCAGGCGCGGCGAACCTCGCTGGCTTCACGACGGTTTCCGTGACGAAGCATCTGCGTTGCGTGCTTTTCTTTGTTTTATTATTTTTTTTTTTTTTCTGAGGCGCTTGTTTGATGTAGTTTTATGACCACCTTTCGGGCACAACGCCGACGGCCTTTCGCGTAATGAAACAAGTAAGGCTTTCGCCTTAATAATTTTTTTTGCAAATCTGTGAAAAGAAAGCTGCCAAAAAAACACCAGCGCACAAAAAAAAAATCTTTTAAAATAAAAAATACGCTTTTTTAGGATAATTTTTTTTTCTAGAGCTTGCGCACACATGTTTCCTCGATAATGGTCATGAGATCAGGCTGGCTATTCAGAAGATGGGGTGCTTTAAAATCTAAATTCTCTAAGTCGTAGCTATATCGTGCATTTTCTTTTTCTTTTTCCTTTGTGTAGCTTGTTTGCCGAAAATTGTATGTATATTATTTCCCAAGTTACTCCTAGAAAAATAAATAAAAAAAACTGTCGGTTCTAATTTGATAATAATAAGAATAATACTTTATTTGCATATATTTTAGGAGATCCAGGCCTGCAAGGGCCGCAGAAGGCAGGGTGCCCATACCAAAAGGCCTGCGGGCCCAGCCTGGGTCCTATTGTTCATGTGATTATAAAGTACTCGGACTAATTTCTTAACATATTGACTAATTAGCACCCGGTGTTATCTGAAGAGGGGAACCGAGCGACTTCCGTGCGATGCAGTTTCGACTAAACACAAAACTCCATGCCTGAAAACAGTAGGGGGGGGGGGGGGGGGGGGAGGGGGGGGGAGGGGGGATCGGTGGCCGAGTGGTCTAGCGCACACCAGCTCGGAGCACGTGGAGCGAAAGCTCGCGCTGCAGAACCCAGGGATCCTGGGTTCGAGCCCCACCCCTGCCCGTTTCGATCTGGATGAGCATCGTACTGGCGTGCGGTCGTGTATCACTACTGCGTGATGCACTTTAAAAACCCCAGGCTAGCGGCTGTACCGCACTGGCTAAATTTCTCATCTACAGCTGGGAGACTCGTCGCCCCTGTGAGGCAGAGCAAGTTCTAGGCTGTATAAACACACACACAAACCCAATTTTTTTGAAAACAGTAGGGAAGGCGTGAATGAGCTAATGATGCACAATATAACCGTCTTCTTTTTAATTATTATTAAGTCTGCAGGTAAGCCCACTAGATCGTGAAATATCCGTTCTCGTTCACACGGTTGCGTTCAAGTGCGATTGCAACCACTTGCACATCGTTAAGACTGCTTGCGTCGGACTGTCGCTATGGCGACACTTACGAACGAACCGAGGCGATGTGCTGCACAACGCAACGCAGCGCAACGCGGCCCACGCAAATATGTAAATATGTTATATCATACAAGTTCCTTTAAATCGGTCCTTCCATGTCAAGAGTAAAGGCAGGTTCGCCTTTACTCTTAACCTGGAAGGACCGATTTAAAGGAACTTGTATGATATAACACGTTCGATGATTTCGTTTTAAGTTTGAATTTAGATTTTCTGTATAATAGACTTATTCCGCTGTCGAAATAAAATATACTTTTTTCTTATTTAATTACAGTTTGTTTACTCCGAGCCACAACAATAGATTTTGAAACCATGTATTTATTTCGTGCTCAAACACTTCTAAGCTTGGTCCAAAAAACAAGTTATGTCTTTGTCATCGGTGTATAAAACAGATGGTGTTTGAGGTATCCTTATAATGGCATTTATCTAGGTTAAAAATAAGAATGGGCCGAGAATTGACCCCTGCGCGGAGGCCATATTTTATTGAATATAAGCTGAATATGAACGATCAACTTGGCGATTTTCGCCTTCTCTTTATCAAGAGTTCGCTACAACATAAAGAATATAGGTAATACCAGATTTTTATTTTTATTAATCATAGCATATGCACTGTGTCACGACAGTATCCAACGACCGATGTGGCCCGCAGCACGCCATTCGCCGCAATAATAGCAGGAAACTGCAATAGATGCTTGTAAATTTTATTGGAGCGAAAAGCCTTGTGTACACAGACCGAAAGTTTTTTTGTTTTTTTTTAATCAGTAAGTGCATATAGTCCAATGCGAAAACACTAAGGTACCCAAGCCAGGCAGGGCTGTGAACTGTAAAAATATTGAGGGTGCCAGACTAAGACCCGTTCCACATTAATTCCGTCGACGACGAGCGCCATGAATATGCACTTTTGGTGCAGCTTAATTCACTCTCTCGGATCGTAGCGTTGTCTGTAATCGGACTTAATGTGAAACGGAGCAAGGTCCATCTCTTATACGCTGGGGTCAGCGTTGCGTGTGCAGCGTCGATCGGTCAACGATGTGCCCGTGTTCGTGGCGCAGGCCGTGTCATCGTGGGGTGACCTGCAACCCCTCCGCGCCAGGATGTCCCAAAAGAGCAAGGTCGCGTCTAAGACGTCGGGGAGCACTAAGGCGCCCGTCCCTGCACCTCGAAAAGCCGTGCAGACCGTCGCCACGAAAGGCCGAAGTCCAAGCGTCGACAAGAAGAAGGCCAGCATGACTCAGCAGGATTCTAACAAGGCGGCGCCGTCGTCCACCAGGAGTCCCTCGCAGCCACCGGACCCCAAACGAACCCGTGACGTTTCGAGGCACCGAGAAACGAATCGGCAAGAACGGCATAAGACGACCGATGGCCCCGCGAATAGGGCTCCCAAGGCGAAGGAGGCTCCCCTCTCCATGTCGCTGGCGGTTCTTCAGAAATCTACTGCAACCGGCCCCGCTGGAACGTCCAAAAAGCCATCGACCGGCTCCAGGGTTGACAACTCAACTACGAGTCGCCACCTTTCTTCCGAAAAGAAAGAGCGTAATACCGAGAAGAAAGCAGTGCCGGCGTCCTCGACGACATCGTCCAAGGAGCCGTCTTCCAAAACGGGCGGAAGGGCGAGGCTTGACGCGCACCAGAAGGACTTCAAGAAGCAAAGTCGCCACGAAGTGTCCGCTGGTAAGCCACCTAAGGCTGAGCGAAAGACGGAAGCTTCCACTGAGCAAGATGACAGCGAGAAACCACGCACGTGTGAGTACTTCTTTTTTTTCATTATTATAAATGTTCATTTTTGGCATGGCGTTTTCCATTTGTCAGTTCGCTTTGCAACACTCAGACATGAGGTGTTCATGAAAGATCATTAGCACGCATTGACTCTCAGTAGCATCCGTTGTTATGGTCTAAAATGAGCATCGAGGCATACATGGCTTGCACTTGACGTCATCGACTCATCGCACCATGCTCGTGATAATTTCTACTTGGTCTCCCAGAGAAAAACGAATTTGGCAATACAAAATGTACTTACGTTGTGGAAGGTGCTATCTTGATCACAGTTAGCGGGAACGCCGGAGCGCGTGGCAGCGGGCACTATCAGAGCGCTCTACCGGACTGGCGCGCAACTGCTGCGCATGCGCATCGCGCGGCGTCGGTGCTTGGAGGTATTGAAAAATAATTCTACTGTCTTGACACACACAAGAAGAGCAACATAATCGTAAGAGATCTGGGGGAGTAAGCATGAGCGATAAGTTTATTTCATGCACAGTGGCCAAAACGTTCATTTTAGCCGAGAAACGCTTTCAGTACGATGTCGCTCCATAGCGATCTTGGTGCGACTGGTTTTGACGACCCTTTGAAGCTCCAAAATAGCGATCACCGTAGCAACTGACAGCGATGAGCCAATCACCTTGAGAGGTTTTTCTCTATGTTGGTATTTGTTTGTGTCCGGCTAGCAGGTGGGAAGGCAATGGCGCTACTTTCCCAGATCCAGTGACTTTAGTTTTAAACAGAGTACGTTGAGTGCTTTTGACGTGCTTCTCAGTGAACCAGCTACCAAGCATCCTTTTCCCACTATCAAACGTCTTGTAATCAGTTGGGAACGTGGCTTAGTGCTCATCTTGTACCATTTCTGTCGTCACACTTCAATGTTGCCAGTAGGGGCTCCCGGTTCGAGAAACACGATGAAAATGAAATTAAGAAATACAGTAACTTCGCCAAATGTTTCTTTTTTTCCACACAGTACTTGGTACAGCCGTGTATATCAGTGTGTTGAGCCAATTTTGAGGCAAATCAGTGACCATGAAAAAATCGTCGTAGTCTGTGTCCTTCTCAGTCCTTTCCAAAGTTTGGAAATATACAGTCATGGTCGAAAGCAATACGAATGGCGGAGCCCGTGCCCTCCTGAGCATGCAGAACCTTCGAGCAGAACTTATTGGCACCTCTCCGGCGAGATTATTATCGGCGTTTCCCCGCCGTGGCATAATCTCCACTCTTGGCTACACGTGGCGCGACACTCGCCGTTTTGATGGAAGGCGCGCGCGCCCTTAGATTGCAGCTCTTCATATTCGTAGCGTCGTCAGTAATAGTGTGGAAATGAGAGCATGCGAAATTTATCATTGCCACCTCTTGTGCAAGGAGATGTCACTTTGTGCTTTCTGTTTCGGTGAACGAATGTCGTCTTTTATTGCAGCATGATGATTTCATTGATAGCACATAAGCCACAGTGCCAATAAAATATCAGAGAACAACTCCTTCTAAGCGGAATCGGAACGGCTTCAATTAAATAACCAAGCGTAATTTGTCAAAAAAAAAAAAAAAATACTCAGCTCCTGCGGCTGCACCATAAGTCGCCGCAATGCCACGAATCCCCATGAAGGAGCGGCATCATTCTCGAAGCCGACCACTCAAGAGCACGGCGTAAATGCAGCGCTGTTGGCGGTTAATCCCACAGATAAAAATCTTCGCTATGAATAAAACAAAGATGGTTTCTTTGTTTAAACACTGCCCACATCCGCATCTACGTGGCGCCCTAGGTAGCATTCGGTCGTCGCTCCGTCGTTCGCATTTCTTTTGACTATGTGAAACGAATCGCACTTGAGTCCTTTGGAAACGGCGTAAATTCATTCCTGCGGAAGAACAGGAACGCCTTACGTCTGCTGAGCTCAACTGGCTGGTGCTCCAGGTACTTCCTACCCACGGAGCTGATCACGTGACCTCAAAATCCCTTTTGCAGCTAACTGCCGGGAGAAATATTGCCCGTATTCAACCAGCAAATCAGCACTTGCAGTGCCTGCAACTACATGTAGTCGCAGCATTCTCCTTGGCACTTGGGCAATTTAGCAATGGGCCCTTAGAAGTCGACGACTCTACCCTGCGAATCAATGGAGGCATTGTTATTTATGTATAGATTTATTTGTATTACAGCCACGGCGACTATTACAAGGAGGCCGCCATCTGCGAGAAGAGCAGAAGCTAAACCAGAGACCTCACGAGTAAGTTTAGGTCGCTATACGTTTTTCGACAACGCTCCTTAATCAGTGCGAAAATTCGTTAATTGTGTCCCGGTATATCACCTGAGGGATTTACGGCTTTTCCGCAGTTGGCTTCGAATTAATTGGTAACGTTGGTCGATATATATATATACATATATATATATATATATATATATATATATATATATATATATATATATATATATATATATATATATATATATATATATATACATATTGTCTGTAATGGTGCAATCGTGCTGCAGCAGGATTTCCCCCCAAAAAAATGTAATTATTCGGTCGAGCAAATCGGAAACTAATCACAGAGACAGACGGTAAACCTTATTCATTTATTTTCGCTCCATAATTATTTTATATAAATTTGAGCCATTTGTTGAATGTTATATACTCATGATGTTATGCTATACTTTAACATGGGCTTCAAACTAATCTCCACCCCCACCCACAAATTAAAATGAAAAAAGCTCGCCGACTATTGTTACGGACAGCTTAAACGGGAAACCTATTTCATTTCTCACCTAGCTCGGGTAAAAGCGCCTGATTAACTAGTTGGCACAAGTTTATTCTTTTCCAGTTTTATTTGTGGCTTCACTTGTATAAACAAAGCTGACGTGACGAATCCCGGACAAAAGCTCACAGGACAAAAGCTCCCCCATTTTTTCACAGACCCGGACAAGAGTTCCCCAGGATAAATATTTCATGTTGGTCTTAGCACGAGTGCGGACAACTTAGGTTCATGCGTGCGACACTAAAATGCAACGATAAATTAATTCTGACGGGCGCATGCAAGGTTTGTTGATTAGAGTAGAAACACGATTATTTATCGATTGGTTAGAAGCAAATGCATCTTCGTACTAGCTCCAGTAGTTTTGGTAGATCTAGGAATACCTAAAAACCCTCGAAAATATTTTTCAGACAATTCTGCAGGCGCAGGGTGGTTTTTCACACCCGCTTCTCTCGGGGTTCACCTCTCCGGGCTTGTGTCAATGCCGTGGCAACAAGTGATTGATTTTTCTGTCGGCATTCAATTGACCTCCAGACGCTTGGATGGGCGTGGCCGACAAGCTTCTGGAACCCAGTATTTCATCCTTCGCAGGTTTTGTTGGTCCGGTCTTTATCTTGAAAAGTGGCGTCGTACATACTCTACCACTCCGGGGGAAACTCCGGCACAGTCAGGCCAAGGAAAGAATTCGCTCTGGGTGCCACCACAGAAGGACCAGAAGCATAACCGAAGAGGCCGTTGACATATATATATATACGTGCAATCAGAGTAGTCCAGCAGGTCGCCGATGTCACCGATAGACTTTTCCCTGATGTAGGTTAGTCCTTCGGGCGCAAGTTGTGGTGGAGGGAGCGGCAGCCTATCCAAACTCCCGCACAGCTCTCTACATTGGTCATCTGTCTTGTACTTGTCCAAGAGGCTCAACTCCCGTTCCATCAAAATATTTTTAAAAATTCGCAACCCAATGGTTTGTATATTACAGTTTTGCTTCAGTTTCCCTTTCACATCACCCTGATATAAATAATCCTTGATTTCAAATACATTTACGACGCACCATGACGGAAAGAATTTAATTTTCCTTACCATTCACTTCCAAGACATTGTGCCTAACATTTATGTGCGCGTTTAGCGTGACATAAGCACAATAAAAAACCGAAGTCTGCGGTCACTCTTCGGGTTCAAAAAATTTTGTTCACAAAGTTTCTTGGGTGTGGCACAAGGGTGCTCCGACATATCTTGAGTCAAGCAATCTTGATCTTATCAGCTCCACTAAATTTGGGTGACCTAAATTTTGTGTCCCAAATCTTTGCTTCTCTGCCTGTTATGACTTATCTCTCGACACCTTTGCATGGGATGGGGTACCAGTTCTCCTAAAAAAAATGGTGCAATGTTCATCGCGTTCGCACTTTATCCCAACCCGTGTTTCGCCCGTGTAGCAAAAATAAATGAGGTGAGCTTTTGTCCGGGTCTGGGAAGAAACGGGCCAGCTTTTGTCCGCTGAGCCTTTGCCGGGTGAGCTTTTGTCCGGTTACCGACGTGACGGTCGTCCACCGGGGAATCTTCTACGGTGCAAAATCGGCGTCTCGCCATTTTACTCGCAAAACTGTCGCTATATATGGTCACCGACAACCTAAGAAACTACGGGCTTGGCGAGTCTCGAGTATAACAAGTGACGTCCTGGGTCTCCTAGGCTGTCGCCGACTGTGCTATTGCCGGGAAGAAGGCGAACCTGTTAGCTCACGCTAAGCTGAAATGCAGCAAGCACGAATCCTAATGCCCTCCTCGTGACGTGGTGCTTTTTTTTTTTTTTTGCGTCCTATTTCTGTGTTTGCAGGAACAGCCGGACTATAAGCTTAGCAACTCAAAACTAAACAATTCCGAAAGTTATTCCGTTCAAGCAGTCGAGAGGTAAGCTCATAGTATCCCGCAGGTTTTGTAGGAATGCATAGTGCTAGTCTGATCACCGTGCCATTTACTTTGTCACTTCAGAGATACAACCGTAACAAAAGATGCGCATGTAAGTTCACAACACTTTCGTCAAATAAGTACACCTATGTGCGACGTTCAGTTTTCTTGCGATCGAGTATCCTGGCTTTTATGTGTCTGCTTTCATTTTTGGATGATGCCGGCGTCTGTATAGGATACTGGATCGATCATTCAAGAGAGAAAACGAATACCATCGGAAGCTGACGAGAGCTACAACTACGATGATGACTTCGAGGTAAGAGCAAGCCTTTGCTCGAGCTGTTCACACTTTGCTCGTTCGTGACCTGTATTCATGCTCTTATTCAGGATTACGAGTCTGACTTCGAGCAAGACGATGACGAGTCGAATGAGGAAGGTCAAGAATCTAGCGACAACTCGGACCGGACCACTGGCCTCACTGAGAATGTTGCGGAAGACATAAGCTGCTCACACAAGTCTGACGAAGATGCACAGGTAAGTGTCACGACTTACTGACATGTCAGTAAGTCATGACACTCGGTCGGCTTATTGGAGAGGGCGTGGAGGTCGTCGTAACCAGATACGTCAGCCCTTTCGCTGTAAGTTGCGAAAGTTCTCAGATTTACGGTGCTTTCGCTACACACGAAAAGTAGAAAACCACGTGCTCCAAACATGAAATATGCCCTCGAATTATTCACTCTTAGTAATCTTACCAAAGTGACGGTCACATGCTTAGGAGTGCAAGGGTACAACGTGCACATACCGAGCTGAGGTAAAGGAAACGTTTCAATGTAGGTCTATTCTCACGCCCCCATTTCCTTCTTTTTCTCTTCACGCTTCGCTTTTTTTTTTATTTTTTTTTTACGGCGATACCAAGTGTGTTCTTTTCTAAATTGAACTGGGAATTGGTGTCACGTGATGTAACAATTTTCACTCTAAATTAAGCAGCAAACGTTTCTCTGTGACACCATGATGTAACGCCAGGGTGTCAGGTGACGTCATGAGGTAGGGCGATTGCACAACCTGGCCTGATGTCTTACTGCCGCGTTAGGTCATTGTATTACGTGATGTCATAGTGGGACGCAAGTCTGGTCAGTTCAAACACAGCAGGTCCTGCAAAGTGTGCAGCGCTTCGGTTATTTCTGCAGCTCATTTATGGCAGAACACAACCAGGGGACGCCTTTTTTTATACCATACTGTTAATAAGGAATAAATTGAACTCATAAAACCATTCGATAGAAATTTGAATGAATGCCTAGAGTAAGCACTCTGGGGGCACTTTTCTTCGAGAACATGGCGACGCCCTTGCGTCGTTCGAAGGTCGATTGTGTGACTCAGGGAGCGTTCCCGAACTTGCAGAGGCAAGACCTTTCTCACTGGAAGTCGGAACCCGCGCTGGACGAGCGGAAAGAACCGGTCGAGGTGACCACTTCGTTTTCGGCCTACAACCTCTTCAACTTCGCTTCCGCAAAAAAGAAAGAAGAAAGCAAGAAAGTGCTGAGCAAAGTACAGTAAGATGCCTCGAAAACTCTTTGACGAACGTTCACTCGTGTTTCACGCTAAAAAGAAATCCAGGACGTCTAAAAATCAGAAGCTTCTTCCTTGACGATAATAAACAATGGAGAAAGGGAACAATGGAGACAAAGGACAAATACAAATCTCCAAAGATAGCTAGGTAACTGGCGCGCGACCGAAAAAGAAATTCCCCTTCCAGGGTTATTGTAGTCATCCTTGTCCAGCTCGCTTGCACCTTTGCATTAATTGCATTATCATCACAACCTCAAAACGCAGGCCTTTCACCCTTGTTGGTGTAAGACTGGTGGCAGCTGACAAAAAACGTTGCTCTACTGACGTCGAACTCCTGGTTAGCTCAGTGGGTAGAGCGCTCCACTGGAAATGGAGAGGTCATCAACTCCTTTCTTAGATCACGGTAATTGTTTACCCCAAGCCCTTTGCAGGAATTGTCCCACAACAGATTTTTTAGGGTGTAGGACTATCACTCACCCATTCTTAAAATGCCCTTCAAAACCCCCGCAATTCTTATGGCGTTATTAAATACAATCTTAATTTATAAATCATATTTTGTTGAAAAAATAAAAGTTGTTTTCACGATACGTGTTTGGTAACAACAAATACCGATCTGTGGCATCTGAGCTGCACGATTGGTGAAATCGAGGCTTGCATTTATTTCTTTTCGCAGACAACGAGCGAAGGACGTTCTCGAGATGGTATCCCTGGATGCGATGACTTTCCAGGTGTTGGACATTCCTCCAGCAAGCTACGATGCGTACATTGTCGCGTTTGGACGAGCAAACACTAAACAAGTACGTATCTCGCTTACTTGTTTTTACTTTTTGTTTTTTTATGTGTCTTATTGTCTTACCAGCTGACGGTTGAGAAAACGACAGACTGCATATACACCAAGACGCGATCCTGACGCCACCGCCTCGAGATCGAACCGTGTCGCCACCGTGCGGCCGAAATGGGAAACATGCGAAAGAGGGGATACCGCCGTGCGTCGTCTGCTACGGGCGCACGCTCAGAGGCACGGATCTCGACGACGCAAGCCCGTTTCAGGCTGAGCTTGACATTCCTATTAGGTGTTTTATGTTTTTGTTGCCGTTTCTTCTTACTAAAGGTTGTGTTGTATCGTTTCAGATGCGTAGAAATTCAGCAAAGCGATTATTATTAAGTCGGAAGCTTACATAATCTTAGTGTGTTGGTTTGTATACAATCGCTGGTCCCACGTATTTTTGTTGGCTGTGTTCCAATCTTACCCAAATGAATCCGAGTTACCCCGGCGGGTCGTGTCACGTGACAACACAGATTGAAAAACGCTGGACGCGGGTAGGTTTTAGGACGCCAAAGTATAAAACCCTTACCCAGGATTAGGATCGAGTAAATTTTGGAACATGCCCGTTATCTCGCACAAACCGTTGCTTTCATAAAGCAATCAATGTTGAGTGGATCTGTGGTTCGATTAGAAAATTAATCCGACTGATCGCTAACCTTTAACAGACTTATCAATCAATAAATCCGTTAGTTGATTTTTCGCCGGTCCTATCGCATAAAAGACGTTAAAACTACACTTTTTTTTCTAGTTTTACTATGTCATAAATGGCATATTGCCTTCCCATTCTAAACTTCACGTTCTGAGTCCTACAGACGAATAACGTGAGTTGGTACAACTCACGTTATGAACGCGGGAAGCCTTTTAAAGTGAAGTAGCTTTTAAGTTATTTTTTAAACAGTATAATCAGCTTCGTTGAAATGAAAAGTACGCCGAAGTGGTTTACCGTACAAGCCTGTGTCATAAAAGAAATAAAGACTTTAAAAATATTAAAGCCAGCATTTTTTGCTCCCTTGTTGAGTTTCTCCAGCACAAAACTCCAATTAACCAGCACAAAAAAAAAAAAAAACAATTAAAGCATTACTCGAATAATCTGAAAGTTAATCGATGAACTGCCCAGTCCCGATATACGCTAGGTGAGTGCAGAGGGTGATCGCAAAGCCTCGTGAAGGTCGAGCCCTCATCAGTAAAAGAGTATCACTGCGGCGGATGCGGTCTATGTCGTGGTGCGCGTAGTTTGTTGGGGTTGCAGAGTCTACTGCGTTTGAATACAAGATTATTTAGCCAGAAATTTGTAGTATTAGCTTCTTGACATCCGCGTCCCTCACCAAGAAAGTTGAAGCGGGTGAACCCACACTACCGAGAAAAGCATTTAATAACAGGAACATTGCTGCGTTGCTTTGTTACACTCCTACAGTCACGGCAGATATATTAGAACAGTTTGTTTCACTTGTTTCAGTTGTCCTGCCAACCGTGCAGTTTGCAGATCGTAACTAGAAGAGACACTTTCTCCTCATCGCAACGCGGTAAAATTGTTCAGACTCCAAAAACCTTAATCACACTATGGCACTGTGAAGGGAAACATTGGCAGCAGAGAAACTCAATAGCACGATAATTTCCAATACAGCGCTAACTTATCTTCATACTAAAGATTATAATTCTGCAAAAGCTAGAGGTTAAAAGAATGCATAGAAGCTGCGATTTTACAGCCCACAGTACCAGTATTATGTTCTCTGGGTTGTAATTTATTGTTTTGTTGAATTCCCACGCTGGTGAACCTATACATCCATTTTAAAAGAAGCAAATATTTAACATAAATATTCCAGATCAGCCGGAGACAGGCGTCACTCGTGGTGATCCATGCTTTTCAACGTCTGCCTAGAGCGGACGACGCACCTACAGAAGTGAATATTTAAATTTAGGCCGCACGCTGGCAACACGATTCGATCTTCACTGAAGCACCGAACAGTACCGCACCCTTTTCCGCTAGAATTGTTTTCCCACCAATAGTATGCGACAAAATAAACGCAAGAATCTACGCCGTCTCGCGCGCGAACGTGGAGAGCCTATGGGGCGGCCGTTCTCCTATCCCCGCTTTGATGATGATGATAGCGCGACGGTAGCGCCACCTCTAGGTCGATCTCGAGGCCAATAGTGGCACTGTTAGCGGCACGGCGCATTTGCAGACGCCTCACACTTCACGCGAATCTGCTTTCTGCGCACTCGCACTGCGCGTGGGCAAACGCTGACTCATATGTAAGCAGCGTGTTGCGCCACTGTGGTGGCGTTGCTGTCGGCACTACGCAGGCGCAGATGCTTTGCCTCGCGCGAATCTGGTTTCTGCGCATTTGAAAATATCATTTAATATTTACTATGTCTCGTAATACATACACAGGAAAAAAATAAATCTTAAAAAGCATTTATTTGGTCTATTTTTTACGATGGGTGCAGAATGCAAAAGTTGTAAGCCTTACTGGTTTAAATGTGCGTCCTTCTCCTGTCTGAAGAAGTCACGACGTTCTTGATGATTAGAGTTGTGTGCATACTGCAGCCGATCAAATCCCAATCTGACGCGAACGTGTGGTTCCAGCTACATGCAAAGTATGTTTAGCTACGCAGCTTTGTATAAGGGTCACCCATTGTGAGATTAACTAGACCCTATTAAAATATTACCACAATAGTGACCCGGACGGTTTTCAAGAATGTTGTGAGCATTCGAAGGACGGTAACGAACGTCCTCCCCGTTTAAGAGAAGCATGCACCGATTAAAGGGGCGCCTTGTTTTATAACGGCAGGCAATGACTCAGACGGACAACATAAACGAAGAAGAATGTCAGACGGACGTCATAGATGTAGTGGAAAAGTGGACTCAACACCCTGCGCATGATTACCGCGGTTTTGGAGGTGAGTGAGCATTGGCTGGTTGCGTCATACGTGATGTTTAATGCCTCCAGTGTCACGCGTATTAGTACTGATAAGACGCTAAACGAACGATTAAAACACCCGTGCTCATGATGGCAGGTGAAGTAACCGACTCAGCTACGGGCCAAATACCGTCTGCAAGTATCAGTGCTGACGCCATGGACCTTTTCGAGTTCATGCAGAATTCTTCGACGGTAAGTCCGTTGACGTCAGGTCGGCTGATCAGATATCAGGCCTGACCACAGGTCCATCGATCAAATAACAGGTCTGGCATCTTAGATCAGATATCAGGTCGGTTGATCAAATAACAGGCCTGATATTTGATATAAGGTTAGGTGTGATGCCTCAGGTAGGTTGATCAAATAGCAGTTCTGATATCACATCAGATATCAGGTCCGCTAACCTGGTATGTGCAACATTTGTCAACGTGTGTTTTAAATTCATTCGCGTGTTAACGAAAGTGCCCATTGACTGTATAGCTCGTGTGTTTCCACAGCTGATGCTACGCGTACTGGAAGAGGAGCTCTCCTTCACAAGTCAAAAGCACCTCCAACAGAACCCGGATATGAAGGACTTCAGTACAGGCTTCCAGACTCTGAACCCGCTTCCATTCTTAAAAGGTACGCGAGCCTCATACACACTCTTTTTTTTTTCTTTTACTGTGACCTTACTCGTTCTTAAAGGCCGACCTGCGCAATATTGTTTTCAACCAGCGTGAACATTTTTTGCCACCCTTCCCGTTTCCCTCTCTCCCACTGCTATCTTGACATTGCGGGGACCCCTTTTGCTGCTGCAACTTGGGGCCGGATAAGCCGGGAGCTTATCCCGGTCCTTCCAGCTTCAAGATGCAGCAACAAAGGGAATCAAAACGGGAAAGGTGGCGAAAAGGAGTTTCACCCTGGTTGAAAAATATTTGGCAGGTTGGCCTTTAGCGTAATATTTTTATTCTCACTTACGGCGGTTGATTGGGATCGTTGATTAAGCAGTTACCATTTCCCTACGTGTAAATATATATGGAAATGGTGACCGCTATAAATAAATATAATAAATAAGAGCAATAAAATTGATATTTAAAGGACAAATATTACGTTATATGGGAGGGCTAGACACTTTTAACTTACGTTAAAAAGGAGCGTCACACGCGGCCACTAGGGCACATGATTATTGCGGTCACGTGACCAGCTACATCCAATAAATTTGCCGGGGGAGACAAGGGCCACAAAACTTTGCAAACTTCATTGACTTGGTTTGCTCACCACCGACAACCACTTGTGTTCTCGTCGGAAATCGCGGTGAAAGTCTCTGTACATAAACGATTGCACAAAATCTTAGACATAAAAACGTATTTTACATATGATTTCTCAGAAATAATTAAAGTGAAGCCGCAATTTTGTTCTCATTTTCATCAGGCTGTTCCCCCACCATCGTGTGCTTTTCTCCGACAAGCTCAAACTACATCATTACCGGACATAAGTTCTCAGATGAGGTATGGCCATTTTCAAATTCTCTTCTAAAAAAAATGCAGGTTTGTATTTTAAACACAAATACCAAGTACAGCCTCCCCAATTAAGACCCATTCGCCGAGGCGGTTTATGCGGTAGTGCAAACGTACTTGTTGGGCAAAAGCACCTTTATTTTCAGAAAAAGACTAGAACACAAACTCATTTGTTTCCTCGCCCTAAACGAATCCCGTCCAGCCACCTGAAACTGCGTCGTCGAATGGATTTTTGTATCGGTGCAGACTGTACCACCTGCGCAGTGTATAGCCACAGAATGTGTTCTTTCCGCCAATTGCAGGCAAGGCATGGAGAAGGAAATATGAACGACCTTCCTGGCCAAGGGATCCTCTGTGTTTGGAATCTCAGCGACATCAGTCAACCTTCTGAGTGCGTCATAATTTCGGGTCCCTTTTGTCACACCCTTGATTTACAAGTACGACAAGCCTGTCGTGGAAGCAGCTGCCTTAGCATCTGGTCGGTGGCCGTTCCGTACTCCCAGCGTCACATAATCTCCGAGAGGAATCATGATTCCTCTCGGGGATCGATTGTTCTTGCAGTTTGTGGTCACATCCCCACTTTGCCTTCTGCTCGGCGCGAAGACGACGCCACAGCTCTTGCCGTACGATAGCGCAGTACTTGCATATCCTGTCTTGCAGACTCCTGGCCTCTCACACGCTGCCTACGTGCTGTCAGTGGTCGGCTTTCGACGTCACGACCGTTGTCTCTGGGTCGGTGGGTAAACGTCTTTTCCGGAAGGAAGCCAACCTCCAAGTTGTCATCTTAAATTTCCTGTTACGTTTTCTTTTTTTTTTTTTTTTTTTTTATTTCTTTTGTCCTAGGCTGACGGCTCTCTCGAATTATGGGACCTAAGAGACAAGTTTTCTGTGTCGAAGAGGTTCGTCGCGAGTCCTGACCCTGACAGAGAATACAAGTTGAAGCTGCCGGCGTACTCTACAGGTAAACTCTAAAATTGTGTTGCTTCTATGTTTAGACAACCTTGATGCTAGTACCTTGACACGTGACTTGTCTCTTAGCTGTACATGAGAAATTTAGCCAATGCAGTACAGCCGCTAACCTGGGGTCTTCAACGTGCACCACCCAGTAGTGATTACACGAACGCGGGTGCCGGCACAAAACTCTTCCAGATCGAAACGGGCAGGGGATGGGGATCGAAACCAGGAGGTTTTGCAGCGCAAGCTATCTCCGAGCTGAAACGCTGTAGCCGACTCAGCCACCGATACCCCCCCCCCCCCCCCCCCCCCCCCGAGATTAGACCGTGGCGCCCCAGGCGGCTAACTTTAGAACTACACGAATGGGGACAACAAATAACAATGACTCAGCGGTCGGCTGGCGTAACCGGACGCCGCGTCAGCGTTCTGGTGGAGTTCGCGTTCTCCGGTCGCCCCCGGGGGAGGGGGGGGGGGGGGGGTGGAGGAGGGGGGGGAGGGCTTTTTTGTTACCACTCCGGCCTCTATGAGCAATGCAGCATGCACGGTGAATATGCCCAGCACAAAAGCCGAAGTGGGTCAAGTCAAGCCAAAAGTGGTCAAGCTCGTATTCTCGACGACTGCTTTCGTGAGAGATCCGGCCCTAATAATAAACGTTACTTCGTTCATTATTAGTATTTTTACATTACTCTATACCCCGCCCTGTATTGAAGAAAATGACGTTGAAATGCCCACAAGGCCTGTGGGCATGTCCATAGGCTTGTGCTGGGTAAACACCGAGGTGTGGGGACAGCAAAGGGGTCAGAGCGCCCCTTATAGTTCGATCTCCTCGGCAATACTTTATGCTGTTTTATCTTATGCCTATTTCAGCCTCTATTTTAAAAAGCAACTACCACCAGAGTCCTGTCGTTGCCCTCCACAACGTAGTTCATAGCGAAACGTAAGTTTGCGCGAATATCGCGGAAATATTTCGAAATGCAGTTCGGTGTGAGATGTCCTGCTCCATTTCATTCTTTATATATTTTTTTATAGGTTGGGAGCAGGCGGGTCCACGGACAAGTATCGGTTATCGAAAGGTACCCAATAAGTAAGATAAATTATTACGCAGGCTACCATCGCTGACTTCGCAGCCTTCTGCTTAAATCTCAAAATTGTCCATGTGTGTCTGACGTTCGTTTTAATTTACGTCTGCGGGGTATTCGCCATTTTCTAAAAGTAATATTTTGCCTACCAATGCATGCCATCTGCTTGCTCGATGCCAGATACGAAAAGAAGAGGTACATTGAGTTGTGATAAGTTTGGAAAGGGGGGGGGGGGGGAAGGAAGAGGTTAAGACCTTCTTGTGAGACATATCGAATTGCACCAATGGGAAGCAGAGCGCTTGCTCATGCTCAGGTCTCTGCCATGGGTCTCAGTGGAACTCTCGGTCTCACTCTCAGGGGGCTCCTTCAGCGTCCTCAGCCTGGACGAAGAAGGCGTCCTCAACATCTGGGCCGTGGTCGAAACCAGGAGCGAGCGTCAGGGGTCCCAAACGGACTTGGGACTCGCTCCGCTCGCCAAGATCGGACTGCTTCGCGCTGCCACCGTCCGGGTCCGAGACTGCCTACCCTCGTAAGTTTTTCTTTACCGGAGGCAGCCGTTATCGGCGAGGTTATTCGGCTTTTCCCGGAAGGTGCGTTTCCTCACTTCTAGCTGGGAAATTTCTCTGCTGAATTTGACAGTGTGACGTCAGGGGATACTATGACGCCACGTCACGTGGCACCATGACGTCACATGACATTGTGACGTTACTGATACTGTGACAACCGGTGATACCGTGACACCACGCCACGTAACACTAATGCGCCACCAACGTTACTAGATTAGGTCAGTTGTGGAACTCCCGCGGAGGGGTGTTCCCACTCATTTCAGTCCGCCTCCCACCGTTGGAAGCGCCATCTTGATTTCCGCTGCAAAAGTGTGTCCTATAGAATACGGTGGAACGCCATCTCGACGGTGTGCTTCTAAAAACGTGCCTATTCCATAGAATACACTGCAGTTACCATAGCTGCCATCCGGCGCGTCGAACGACGAGAGGCGAGTCGTAGTGAATAAGGGGGTGCTGCTCGGTGCAAGTTACGGAACTGCTCATAGACCCTGCTTGCACGAGCAGTAACACCCCCCCCCCTCTCTCTCTCTCTCACCACGGCTCGCCTCCCGTCGCTCGACGCGCCGAACGGCTGCTACGGGAACTGCAGTGTATTCTATGGAATACGTACGTTATGGAGCATAGCGTCCAGATGGCGTTCCACCGTACTCTATGGAACACACAATTATGAAATGAAAATCTATATGGCGCTTCAAACGACGGGAGGCGGCCTGATGTTAGTGAGGCGTGTAACCCCTTCCGCGGGAGTTCCACAACTGAGGTAACCTAGTAACTTTGATCATAACAGCCCGTTACACTGGGACGTCACATGACGTCATGTTTAGTGTGCAGTAGGATTGTGTGTAGTATGTGTGCAGCAGCGTCTTGACTGCCACCGCTGTTCAACTGAGGGACGCAGCAAGGAACGGGGGATATTCTTCGCTTCTTTTTTGTATTAAAGGTCACGGACACTGCGATACGGTCTTCATGATTATTTGCTGAGACCATGACCATAAGTGACTCGTTGAGGTTCATAAATTGAGAACTCGTTCACCCGTCACGGCCTCGGCGGAGAAGTAAACACGCCGGCATTTTTACGATGTTTCAGCCGGGTCATATCTTAACCTTTATACAGCCGCAATTTTTGTTGTTCGTTTGATTGCTTGTTTGTTCCGCAGATGTGTATATTGTTACTTCGAGTGTCGTTCTTATTTCATTTCTGCGCGTGGCCGTTCTGTCCGTCGCCTTTAGAAATATTGAATAACAGGCGCGTAAATCAGAAACAATCACGTCTTCTTATTTGTTTGTTTCTTTTCTTTCTTTCCAGGAGCGACAGTGACTTTATCGATGGTTTAAGTACGTACGACTTCGAGTGTTCGCCCGCCCATGCGAATCGAGTGCTTGTGGCTACGGACCTCGTAAGTCCACCCTCCTCGCCATATTCCTTGGCGTTATTGCTTTCTATGGTGGTATATTAAACACAAATGCAAACTCCACGAAGTAATATGGGGCAGTTTTGTGAGTTGCAGTTTCAGAATTTTGCGAAGGGCAAGTCGTCTGTTTCTTGCGGAGGAGTTGCGGTGCCATCAGAACGACGCCGAGCTCTGACTGGCTTTGATTGAAAGGATGGTGGGTAGACCTCAATGATAGATACCTTGAGGACTACCCATTATCTTTTTTATTTTTTTTTATTTTCAATTAGCCAATAAGAGCTCGGCGTTCTGACATCATCGATATATATATATATATATATATATATATATATATATATATATATATATATATATATATATATATATATATATATTGTTAACGTATTGGACAAAGAAGGACAGTTTTTTTGTTTTTTGTTTTTGTTTTCTGGAAATGCTTATGGGGATGTAGTCCACGTCGGAGAACATCCGAGGCATAAAGTGCATTATATTATGTAGACTTCAAAAATGAACTCATCCACAGACGTGACATCGAGAGTAAACGATCCGCGACTCAGTTTCGAAAGGGCCGGGGTTATCACTCAGATATTACGCGGATGGGCTTCTTTTGGAGGTTACAATTGAAAACGAGCGTGTTGGTTATGCACAGCAACAGGTTTACGAAAGAAATCATTGAATCATTTGCCATGGGAACTGTAAACAGCGTTTCTGCACCCTCATTATCACTGACAAAGAAAAAGGTCGAATTCCTAACACCAGAGATGAATAGATTACTGACTCTTTGTCGGGACGCTAGAGCTTTTTAAACTTTTATATTTATAGTACATTTCCCTTTGGGACTGTAAACAACAATATTTCTGCACCTTCATTATCTTTGACAATGACAGGTCGAATTCTAAGTAATCGGAGATAACTAGATTAGCGATACCTCGTCGTGACGCCGGCGCTTTTTAAACGTTTATATTTACAGTAAATTACCTTTCCTTTATAACAATTATCTTCTTTTCCTTTTTGAGAACGTTGAAACCTTTGGGGGGCGGTTTTATCTTTGTGCCATTCTATGTTGTTGCTAAATGAAAGATATCCTGTTCCCGTCCTCGTCCTCGCTGTTTTATACTTTCAAGTTTTGTTCCTTCTGGAGCTACGGCAAAAATAAAACAGAGGAGCGATGACGGAAAATAGCGGACGATCTCTTTTGATCATGGAGGAAGCACTCCAAGAAACAATAATATTAACGACTGCGAAGTTTTTCTCTCTTTTTTTTTTTATCATTGACGACGCGGTGTTTTCGGCTCCACTTGCTCACCTTTCTTTTGGGCTTTATATTGGGATCAAATTTACTTACTCCTTTCAGTTAGGCGTCAAAAACATGTTTTTATTAATCAGCGCGCGATCAATTAGTCTTAGTCCAGGTGTCATATACATTCCCCGCAACGTAATTTCCGCCGACTACGTTCTGCGGCAATTTAGAATCCGCTTCCGCATGGTGTAGGGAACTTTCTCAACACTGATATGTAACTAATTACGTTCGCTTTGGTGGGAATATAATTAGAAAATCACAAAGAGAACTTCCAAACCGCTATAGACATTTTCTTGGGGAACGAGAAGTGTGTGTGTGTGTGTCTGAGAGGGGGGGGGGGGGTTGTTTTGATTGATTATGTACATGAAATATTCAAAGCCTTCACCATATACGCACACTCCGTAAAGAAACAAAAATCACTTCTACATCATCTACTGCGTTCGAGCATCTTCAGCCTTGTACGTAATAATATGGAGTTCACTCCAACGCCGAGGACGAGGATGCTGCCGAAGAAGCTCCTGTTTACGCTCGCACTCAACAGGTATACCCTCTTAGGACCGGCTGCAAGCCGGTCGTAAGTCGTTACAGACTGCTTACGTGTAGGAATGCGAAAGCAGTTCTACACGCAGCGTGTTCCTACAAGCAGCGCGCCACGTCTTCCTTTCGCACACGGCCCCCCGGCGTCCCCCTCCCTCCCGCTGCGCCGCCAGCAGTTCGTCTGGCCCCTTAGCAACGGTGACGCCGTTGCTATGGGAGGACATGCGCTCCGGCGGTGACAGCACGCTCCTCCACCGCGCAGGCCCGGCGAACCCCGCCGACTCCACGGCTTCCGTGACGATGAATCTGCGCTGCTGTGCTTTTCTTTGTGTTTTATTTCTAAGACGCGTCCGCTTCGACCTTCAGCGGCCCCGCCGGCTACTGTGACGAAGCATCTGATATGACGCGTTGTAGCCAATGGGAATTTATTGCTCGTTTAGCTGCTACAGACAACGCCTAGTCATTGGGAATTTAGTTGCCGTTCTAGTCGACTTCACCGGCTTCGCTCCATGAGGCAGTTAATGCTTTCGCATTAAAACTGATCTTGTGTCAGTCGGTTGTAGTCAAACACAAGAGTTTGAACGAGCCTTTATGTGGCCGACCTCTCTCCTCGGCTTGAACCTCTGTCCTGTTTGGCCTTTCAGGGGTGCGTGCTTCATTGCGATCTTTACGGAGGCAAGACATCTCCGAAGATGTACCGCTCAAGGGACGATAGTAAGCTTCTTCTTTTTATCATTTTTTTATAACTTACGTTTTGGTTATACCGCGTGTTCGCACAACGTTCCCGTGCTCTACATTTTGCTGAATTAATCCCCCTGTCTGCTCTTTTACAATTTTCAGACACGCAAACAGATGCCAAATGCCTATCTTGTTCTCCGCACCGCATCCCATTTTTTCTCGTAAGTCGATGAGTTATTTTTACCTTTATATTGGATCAGAGGTCTTCAAACTGTTTAGTTACGAGGAACGCCGCTTCGAACATCCCGGTGTCTTGTTTTGAGAACAAAGAGTGCATATCGGGGCAGATAGGTTATGTACAGTTATATATACCATATGGTTATTTGGTTTGTTGTGATGTTTCAATAAATAACTCAGTTTTTTTAAAGATATTTGAAGACCCCCGAAGCTGCAACACTAGAGTAATTTATATCTATATACTATAAACATATACTATGTTGTGAAACATACTTTGTTTGCAAGAACACTCCTACCAGAAAGCGCGTTTTCGTGGTGCCAGCCGCTCGCGCCGTTCCTCCCGACGCTGCACAAGCAAGAATAATTTGTGTCTCTCGAATACATGACTCGCACTGTGCGCGAACCTTCTTCAACGTGTATTTTTCACCACCGGATTTGATTTTCTCAGCGAGAACAAATCTCAGTGGCCACCAGCATATAGTGCGGTGACGTCACGTGCAAATCATGTTAAAGGGGCGATGCAACAATTTTCGTACTTTGAGCAAATACCGCTTAAAACGGATCCCTGACGTTAATGACCTACGAAACACGCGAAAAACGAGCACCGTTCACCCCCTCAACTCGCAGCCAGAACAAGCGGCCACGTGATCTGGAGCCGATTATATGCCGCCAATGTTGATCATAGTCATGCGCTGGGGTTGGCAAAGCACAGGGCATGCGCTGGGTTCCAGACATTGTTATGGCTCGGCATTTGTCGTCGTCGCAGCGACTGGACACGGGCCACTACCCAAATGCATGTCGAGGTATCGATTATCACGAGCCCAGATCGAATGCGTACGCAGTCTTCGCGTCCACTGTGTGAGCAGCATTTGAATATCGTCACCACAAATCTCCATGACGCATTCCCGCGAATCGTACTGTTGACGAGACTGAAAGACGAGACTGAAAGAAAAGCTCCGCTTTCATCCTTTGAATTCCGCCGCGACGAAGATTCTTCTTGGTCAGTGGTGTTGCGTGCGAGCATTCTTGGGTCCCACTAGTGCCAGGAAGCTGGTGTAAAGTAAGAAATATTCCTACCCAAAGTCGTTGCACAGCCCCAGTTCAGTTTTCTGGTTAAATGCGATGTTCTCAGCACTAGCAGAAGAATGTTCAAATTGTAAAGCTGTTCAGTATGCGGCAGCCTAATAAAATGTTTGAGCGCGCATGACTGATAAAGCATAGTTGTAAAGTGAGGGCTTCAAGCAAGGGCACGTAAAACCGAATATAACATTAGCCTCCCGAGATAGTATTTTGCAAAATTTCGAGCTCGTGCATGCCGATGTTCAAATTGTGATTTATATTAGAAATATATTTTCTGTCCTTAGCGCAATTTATGTCTAGCTAGGAATATCATTGCATGCATATCTATGTATTTCTTTTTGCAGTAAGGATTATTGGATTATTTAGAAGAATAACATTTATTATCTTTCTTTTTGTATATTTCGTGAATATACTTTCAGATTTATTATGTGAGCACACAGCCTTTTTTTGGCATTCCCTGCGACCCGGTGTTTCACACTGCCAATCAGTGAACAAAAAGGCATGTTTTCGCAGACTCAACAGCTGGCGTATTTTCGAGTATCGTCCTCCCGTGTCGGTCTCCAAACGTTAATATGAATTTCGTACAGTCAAATGTATTGATGAAATAAAAATATATTTATAACTGACTGAATCTTTGACAACGTAGATAAAGGGCCGATTACCTGAACATCATCAGTAGTAGCACCCCCAAAATATCTTAAATATGCTGTGCAAATCTTTTCCGGTGTTTTTACTCTTGATTTGAGAGAGCCTTAAACAAATGTCTGATTTTTAAGCTGATTTAAATAACTATGTTCTCCTAACACATATTTAACTCCTGAAACATGTATCAGTCTGTTGTTGCATTCCTCTTTTATGTGATGAACAACAATTATATATGTCCGTGCGCTAGACAAACACAAAGTACGCAGGGGCGCGTGGTGGAAGTACGACGAGTGCGTACGCAGACCGTCAGAAAGTGAACAATGAAGTAGCTACAATGTGAAGTACGTCCATTTTAACAAAAAAAAATCATCAATTAATAAAATTGTTCTAATTTTCAAATTGAATTGAGCGGCATCTCGTCAAGGAGAAATCTCAAACGTCAAGTTATGACCAAAAGTTTCACTTAGGTAGGCGCTATTTTAGGCCCAGATTCGATCTGAGTACGAAGGTGCGTATAGATTAGAGTGAGCAATTTCGATCACTCTTTCCGGCGTGATTATTCGTCTGCATCACGGTGCTGAGTGTAAATAATGTTGGTCAGAAAAACGAGCGTTGTGATTGCCGCTCAGTGTTTTTATATAAAAGGTAGACTGAAGGGGCTTGCCCTAAAACTTCCGTGACATTTTGGAAATAATGCTTTTAGCTGAGTTGCGTCGCCATCATGTATGCTGTGAAACGGATTTCGTAAACTTGATTTCACAATATATATACCATTCACGGCCATTTTAGGGGACCTACCAAACTGATAACATTTCGATTTAGGTAAAATAGAATTAGGTAAACGAATAGATGTTGAGTTGTATGAGCACGACGTTCTGTATGTTAATTTAGCTTTGCGCTCACTGTTTCGCACAAATAAAAAAAAATCTTATTTTTGGCATTTGGAAATACAAGTGGATTGTACAAATGATAAAAAAGCTATATTGGCGACGTGAGCGATCGAAAGCGTCGCGGTGGTCCGGCCTTTCACGATTGGCCGAATGCTCACTATGACGTCAGCAAAGGAGTTGTCATGGACGGAAATAAGAGGAACGTGAGCACTTTTTTCTTTGACGGTGTTGACAGTGTTGGTTCAAGAGCGCTAATGATTTCAAGCTTTCGCCATGCTAATTACAAACACCATCGAACTTGGCTGTGTTTCCAAATCTTACCAAAATGGATCCGAGTTTACTCCGGCGGATCGTATCACGTGACTGTACAGATTGTAAAACGCTGGACGCGGGTAGGTTTTAGAACGCCAAGGGTACAAAAACCTTTACCCTGGAGTGAGATCGAGTAAATTTTGGAACACGGTCCTTGTTGTTCGCAAGGTAATGGTGTCACGAAAGGTAACCATACGAGAGCACCACCAAAATATCTCGCCGCTAATACTCATTGTTCGTTTCACGGTTGAAATAGTGCCCAGTGCCAAAACAAAATATGTGATAAATTTGCTGGTTCAGACCAGTTCGAACCGTTATTTTTGCTCCCCGGAACAGAACCGAAACTGAACCGAAAGCCGTGAACCCGAACGCGAACCGAACCGAACCGAACCGAACCTATAAAAATATTCGGTTTGACACTTTGCCAGTTGTGCGGTATACGTGGAACACGGTAACGGTTTGCCAAAAGTCCCTAATGAAGTACTCGGATAACTGGCGCAGCAGCTACTAGATGGAGCCCACTTCTGAACGGGCTGTATTGAGATGAGAAACAGAAATACGTGCAACTTTTGGATGAGTAAAGATTAGGCTCGCTAATAGACCATTCGCCATTGTGCGCCCTTCCCAGATATCTCGACTTGAGTTTTCTCCTTCTTGCCGTGTGTTCCTTCGTGTTTTATCGAGTAAAAACGTTTCCAGCCCTCTCGTATATATGAGCAGCATTGCAGATGACCACTACGGTCACAAAAAGTATGACTGCGAATTTATTAGCTTAATTGATTTGCCAGTAATTGTTCATCTTTCCCAGCAAAAAGAAACGAAAATACCGGAGGCTCAATAACCTGCGAGAAGTTATTGGCGCTGTCGTTCTGTATGCTCCTCACTCTCAGCAGTTTTTTTTTTAAACCAAATATTTACAGTTCTTACTTAAATTAAAGATATATGCGGGTTGTCTCAACATACCACTGTGCTAACGAATTTTTTCTCTCTCTCTCTCTCTCTTGGACCGCAGGTTGGAACCGGGGTGGGAATATTGAGGCTACATTCCATAAAGTCGGGTAAGTCTCTCAAAGAAAACAATTTTTGTTTCGTAGATAATCAAAACAAAGGGCACCAACATGAAGCAAAATTTGTATTTAGGTTCAAGCAAAATGTTTGTAAGACAGTTTGTACCTGTCGTTTCTTCCCGCGGTATAGTATCAAGGAGCACGCATCGAGGCTTAGTATAGATCCGCTAGCTGGCGTCTGACATAAGCCGTATACCGTCGAGACCTGTTATAACGAAGTCAACGGGAATCGGAAATCACTTCGTTATATCCGGTATTTCGTTATAACCGACTTCGTTATAACCAGTCCCGACTCCAGATCTGCCGGACGCCGGAGCAGGACACGAAACGGGGGGGCGTCCGATAAATTTGCTGCAAGTCGGAAATCTGGCTGGCGATTACTTTGTGCGAGCAAAACCTTGACGCCTTCTTATCCTTGGACAAAGGTTAACCGACAAGGTGTGGGCACTGCGTGTGAGCAGGACTACCTTGTTCGCGCTGCGTATGCGCCCTGCCAACAGCAGCGTAACTGCAGCAGATTGGACGTCAGCGGCCGCGTTGTGGTGTACGGTCTTCGATGGCGTTTCGGCGTGCCGTGGGATTCTAACGTGCACGCGCCACCAACTTAGTACAGCGGAAGACAACGAGCGCGTGCTGGAGGTACCCGAACGAGACGCCCTGCCGTTCTCCACCCTGTCCAGCGTAGCCACTGCTCACAAGAACACAAAAGTTAGCAGAAAGAATAAACATTCTGCCTTTGAGCCATACTGGCGTACCCTTTGTTTTGGGTGTCTTCAGCGCTCTAAGACTAAAAACGGACAATGAGGATCATGGGCATCTGGAGGGGGGGTACAAAGAAGAAGAGGGGGGGGGGGGGGGGCAGCAGGTTTTCTTTGGTATTTCGGGAGTATTGGTGACGTACGCTGCGGAAAAGCGTAGCTGAGTTAAGCTTTCCACTATTGGTTAAATTTTTACAATGCCGTCCTTAGGGGAATGTACTGCTTTTCTTGGCGGGAATAAAAG